CTCGTCGGGAGAACGCCCTCGCTGACGACAGGCCGCGCGCGCGCCGCTCGGACAACAGATCATCCGCAACGAAGGCAAGCCAGCGCACGAAATCTGCGCCGAGAAGGAGCTCAGTGCCTACTCGCGCTTCACCCGCAACAAGTTGGTCCTCGCCCTCCTCCCCCCCCGCCTTGCCCCCGGCAGCTCGCCCGCCGCCGCCCGACTTCGAGACACGGAACACCCGCGCTGACTGTCCGAACCCCCTTTTCCCCCCACGCACAGCTATGGCGAGTTCATGACTCTGTTCGCGAAGACGGTCGCCGAGCGCACGAAACCCGGCCAGCGACAGGATGTTGAGGAGCAAGGTACGCCTGTGCCAGCAGCGGGACTTGGGGGTATGCGAAAGTGGCGGCTGACAAGGGACGCTCGTCGACGCGAAAAGATTACACATTCCACGCCTACGGCCGCACCGAGGGCGTCTGCGGCATCATCATCTCGGACCACCAGTACCCCGCCCTCGTCGCCCACCAGCTCCTCAGCAAGTGCGTCGACGAGTTCCTCTCCAAGCACCCGCGCTCCTCGTGGGCCACGGGCCAGCCCCAGTTGCCCATGCCCGAGCTGCGCGACTACCTCACCAAGTACCAGGACCCGCAGCAGGCCGACAGCATCATGAAGATCCAGAAGGAGCTCGACGAGACCAAGATTGTCCTGCACAAGACCATCGAGAGCGTCCTGCAGCGCGGCGAGAAGATTGACGACCTCGTGGCCAAGAGCGACGGCCTGAGCTCCCAGAGCAAGATGTTTTACCGTGCGTCGGACCCCGTGCACGGCCCGCTGTCCCTCATCCTCCCCTTGCCGTCGCCTTCAGCTTGTGTGACTTGCCATCTAACTGCATGCAGAGCAAGCCAAGAAGCAGAACTCGTGCTGTGTGTTGATGTAGCAGAGCCCCGACTGCTCTCTGCTTTCATGTTAGGCGTTGGACGTGGCGGGTGCTGGTTTGGCCCGAGGCTAGCAGCACGAGGATTGGGTACGATTCTTTCAGGCGCAGGTGCATTTATACATCCATCCACCAAGTACGACGCATCGCCGTTCTCTTAACTCTGCGCGCCCGTCGCTCCTTGTTTACGAATCTCCAATAAATGAGTTGGGACGGAGCGACTTCACACAGCCTGCGCAATAGTGCCGGGATCAAGACAAGGAGAAGGGTCAACAGTTGTTACAGTACAGACTCCAGGAGCAGAGAAATAAAGTAATGATATGCATGTGAAAGATAATACCAGCCCCCATGTCTATCTGAAGGACTACCCAAATCATTGATGCTTGGCTCATGGTCATTCCTGGCCACCGCTGCTCGTCGACCTGGACAACGGAGCTGGTGGCGCCCTGCCGGCAGGGTTCAATATGCGCTTGGCGACAAAAGAAAGGTCGTGAATAACGTCTTCAAAAGGTCGCAGACCTGGGTCATGCGAGAGAAAGTTTCCGCGGAGTCGCAGTGTCTTGTGCCGCCCGTCCAGCTCATGCAACCCGTCTTCATCATGCGACATAGCGAGACCTGTGTCCCCGTGCTCATGCGCGCTCCACAATCACTCGCTCGCTCTTCCGGTGCATGGCCTTGGGCGAAGTTGGATCATGCCTTGGGTCGACGAGCCTCGGCGTCGAGCTCTTGGTCTCGCTCAGCTGTTTTGCCTCCAACCCACGCCTTTGCAAAGGCCCCAAGAGCGCCCTTTGTTGCCGGGAAACGCTTATCTGTCTGGCAATGGACACTTCCACGGGATCTTGAGGCACCTTTTCTAGAGTCGTTACTGAGGACCCTGGGGCGTCTTCTAGACCAGGCGACGGTGGCAGTGATCGGTTATCATCCCGAGATGGAAAGGATCTTGGCGTAGCTGCCTCAAGCGGCGGATGTGACGAATTCCATGCTGACGGCGCTTTCCATTTCCTTTCTTGAGGCGTAACTTCGACTTGGAAATACTCGTTCTCGTTGAGAGAAGGAGGCCTATCCACCGATGCCCTGGCGCCAATGCTGAGCTGAGACAGCGAACGGCGGTGGAACTTGGATATGAGCTGCGGCCGTTCAGCAACCTCCTCGGCCGCCGGTATCTCATCTATTCTGCCCCCTTGAAGAGTCGATTCTGCGATGTGCCTGGTGCCTCTGCGTTCGAGCGACGTGCCGGATGTTTTGAAGCTTGGCCGCGTTGGCGAAGGCATCATTGCAGGAGAGGTATTTGATCTTGCGCGCGAGAACGGCTCGAGGCCTCTGCCTCCGGAGCGAGGAGATTGGTTTCGCGGTGAGCTTGACGAGTCGCCCAATGGCCTCGGCGGCTCCCTCAATGCCAAGTCAGGGGTGTTAGGCTCTCGCTCCTGAATGGCCTTGAGCCGATCCTGGGTTGCCTGCCTTCTGGCGAGCAGTGACGATGCGGTCTTGTGTTGTAAAAGATGGCCGAACATGATGCTGTAGCGCTCCAAAGTTATGTCTGGGATCTCGACATCGAGAAGAGGCTCGTTGAGGTTAGGCGCAGAAGGCGAGAAGCCGTCGGCACGCGCAGTGTCCCTTGTCATATTGGTTCGAGCAGTACTGTCCTTGGCTGGTGGGTTGGGTGCGAAACCTTCGTTGCGAGGAACCTTTGCTCGGTCTCTCAGCATCGGTTCCGTCTGAGACCTTGCAATTGACCTGTGTGGAGATGGTGTGGCCGCTTCTCCCCCTCGCGGATACATCTGAGCGTGAGCCGTGGTTGACGTGCTCCGCCCAAGGGGTGAATAGGTCGAGGGACTCGCAATTGGACCATCACGCATGGGGCTCGAATTACCCTTCCCTTTCCTAGATCGCGACCGGCCGAAAATACCCCATTTTCGAGACTTGGCTTTCGGCGACGTCTCCTCATTGCTTGTGATTTGGGCATCTGGGCTACCCGCAGTCACTGTCGTCGTGAACTGCGGCCGCCATGCTGTCATTGCGTAGTCGGGAGGGTGCGTTGGGCTCCCCAAGGCCATGCCAATGGCAATTATTCCAGTTTCCGGGGCCTCGTCAGTCGAAGCCACTCTGGAGTCGTGCGCCTGGTCGGGGGCAGTCGTAGACTCTACCGAGGACCGATCCGTACGAATTGGGCGGTGGTAAGATCTATAGTTGTCCTTTTTCTTGAGCTTAACTGCCGACGGCAATCCACCGGGGATCTCTTTTGGGTTTGGCTCTGGGGATCCAGGGCCGCCATCGATATCGGAGGCAGGGCTCTTGCGAAGGTTCTCAGCCGGTGACGGCACAGCTCCCGGAGGAGACGCCATGGGGCAAAAGAAGCGTTATATAAAACCCAGCCAGAGCCTACTTCGGAGGAAGGGGGCCGAGCTCGAGTGAGGACGTCCCAGGGATGCCGCTATCGTTTGCGAAGTGGCTGTGGTGGATGGAGGGATATGTTGCAGGTACCGAGACGGAGCAAGTCCAACAGTCGATCGTATGAGAACGCTGGCCGTTACGCCTAGCCGTTTAGGGTCCCGCCGTGTTTCCATTCATCGTCGGGGTCTTCCTCATGTGAACCCGGGGGCGGGAGCAAGTAGCAGAGGCTTTGTATTGCAGAGCACCGTTTACATGTTCCAGGATGGCACCGGTAACCAAGGCTCAGACACACAGTGGTATGGAAGAGATTATCAGGGATGCGGCAGCCAAGTGCCTTGTAAGCAGAGGCTCTGGTGGTTTCGAGTGAATGAAGGGACATCTGCGGAGAGCAAGAGACGGCTCCATGGCCGAGGCGGCATGGATGGGCTGCCCTGTGCGTGTCATGGCATACGGAACCTCCACTCAGTTCGTGTTGATGCAGCGTTATGTGGGCATGCCCAGCGTCGCCGCCATTCGGCGCTACCCCCTGATGCCGTCGAACAGGTCGTGTGCCTGCGCGCAAAGGACGTGATTGCGCAGCGCAGGCTCGCTCGTTTGAGGTTGATGCCAGGGGGGCCATCGACCCGCCAGGGATCAGCTCCCGAGAAGAGCAACCGCTGGCCGCTGTGGACGCTGGCGGCCGCTGCCACGGATCCTTGTCAAGGGGGTCAGCGACTGTGGACCGCTGGAGGTTTCGGGAGCTTGTTTGCATCGGTATCCCGGTTGGCACTTGCAAGCCAACTTGCGAGGGTGCTCTCGTACAGTACCCCAGAGCTCGACACTTGCCGATGAAAAGAAGAGCTGGTCGGGGGCGACGTCGCCATTTCCCTTTAGGCCGTAGGACGATATGTGCCATGCTATTGCGTGCACTGACCTTGGCTGGATCGGTTGCATCCTTTTCCTTCTTGGGAGAGACGGCCACGACCACGGCCGCTGACGGGGATTTTCTTTCGAGAAGCGCGAAGAGAAGCCGCGCCGGGCTTGGCTTGTGGGGTCGGGTACGGATGCGCCGTGGATGCAACGCATTCGACGGCGATGGTGCAGACGAGTGAAGATTGTCCAGGCGCCCGGACGGCGTCAGTACTGTAGGTGGCTCCCGTCACTACCAAAGTACGAAGTACACAGCGAGGCCATGCGCACCTTCCGGCCCGAACTGTCCGCCGCCACCTGCTCTGGGAGTCTCGGACGATGCGTCGGTCGTTCCTGCAGCATGCGCAGAGACAATCGTGTTCGCCCATGCCGCCCCACCCCCTGACCTGGACATTTTGAGCAGGTCGCGGCCGCGCTGACTGTCACGTCCGAATGGCCCAGGCGATGCGAACATGAAACACGCAACGATCTTGGGCGGCTCAAGCCACCGTGTCTCAGATTTGAGCGCCAGTCCCCTTGTTCTTTGCACCAACAACTCCATACACGCATCAGCACTGCTCTCGCGCTTTTGGCGCAACAGGGCATCCGAGCGAGAGGATGCAATTGCTGGACGGCTTCAATAGGCGCCCGACCAGGACGCCAGCGCCCGTCGGTCAATCCAAACGATAGAGTTGTACGAGCAATCTAATAACAAAGAGTACCCGTACCCATGAATTGCGACCTTATTTCAGGCCTGTTCCAGCGAGAGAACAGGGTGGGTAGAGTGACTTTGGACAAGTACTCTGTCTATTATGTACATCGACAATGATCCAGACGCCCAACTGCCCCCATCATCAACACTCTCACCTCCTGACTTGTCCTGGATGCTCGAGTTGGTTGGCCACACACAGACGACGGCAGCGCTGGCCTGGAAACCCTACCCTACCCAGATACCCTGTCTGCTTACAGTTGGACAATCACGCGGACAGGCAGGATGCAACAAGACTGCAGCGGCCTTTGTGAGCCCAGAATCGAGCGTAATCTCTTCTCACTGTCAACATCCAACAAAGGCCGCATCATCGCGGAACAGCACATCACATGCTCCAACAGCCTGGCCGAAGACAGCTCTCCCGGACCGAGATCATTACAATACCTGGGTTCTCATCCCGCCCTCAAGGCTCCAGTACTGCATCACAGGGGCATCGCTTACACGGCAGCCTGTCACCGAGCCACTGATGTCGACACCATCGACATCCCCCACCCCGCAGTCCCATCAACGAGGCCGCCAGGCAGACGGCAAAGGCCCGTGGATCCTCTAGCGTAACGGGAGCTGTTGCCACTGCGCGAGCGCGAGCGCCATGAGCACCAGATAACACTGGGCGGGAGCGCTAAATTCCCGTCAGCCCGTCCAGGAAGCACCGACCTACCTAGCCGCCGCCAAAGGATTGCGCTGGAGCTCCAGGCAGCATCAGCGGGTGGTGGCCGTGTGCCATAGAATGGATGAGGTGGTTCCCTCACGCAAGCTCCCGCCGTCCCGTCGTCATCTCGGGGGTGCGGACGGGGCCATAGCGCCGCCGCCGCCGCCCAGGCGATTTTGCGTCAGTGGCCCCAGGGCTGCCACCACAGGCTCCAGCGGCGGAAATTTTAGCCTCTCACCTCCCGCCCCATCGCCGCCTCGCAGCCGCCTTGTCACCCACCCGACGCCTCTATTGCTCAGGCAGTCAATGGGTGAGGCGGTCGGTGGCCACTCGAGCTCCAGCGATTGACGGGACGACGGGTCAGGCGGCCGGGTGCGCTGCCCAGCGAGCGGTACGGAGCGGTACCGCCAGCGCCCGTGGTGGGGTTGCTGAAAAGGTACCCCTCCTCACAAGAGCCGCGGCGGGGAACCTCTGGCCATGAGCCAATCCAGCCGGCCCTTGTCGCCCGACGGCCCCAAGCAGTCCAAGGCCCTCTGAGGTGGTCCCCCAGTACAATTTCGGGTGGAGGGGCAAGCAACAAACTGGCGCTCGAGCCGACAACAACCTTGAACTTGATCCAACAAACTTCCTGAGCTTCCCCTCTGCCCGCCGACCCTCAGGATATCCGCCGGAGCTCCAGCTGTAGCCTCTTTGCCTCCGCAGCACAGCATCTACTCCTTTTCCTCCGCCCTCTCCGTCTCGCCAGCTTCCCGCTGTCCCCCGAGCACGCAACCATGTCCTGGCAAGGCAAGTCCACCGCCTTCGTGTCGCAACCCCTCCTTCGCGGCACCGAATCGTGACGAGATGGCTGACCATCCCCGTAGCTTATGTCGACAGCAGGTAGATATCTGCCCACCCCCCACCACGACACTCCTCGTCGGGCCGCATCGCGACGCCCGCCGCACGTGCCGACGTGAACAGCAGGATACTGACTGAGCGTTGCAGCCTGGTTGGCACCGGCCATGTGGACAAGGGCGCCATCATCAGTGTTGCCGGAGACAGCGCGTGGGCAGCGTCTGCCGACCTCCAGGTAGGCACCCGCTGCCCAGCCAGGGGCATCGCCCGAGGACATACGAGCTAACGTTGAGTCATCGCACAGCTCAAGCCGGAGGAGATGAAGGTCATCGCCTCCATCGTCAGCGGCGACTCTGCCGCCAAGGACAGGGCCTTTGCTGACGGCCTGTTTATCGCCGGCAACCGATACGTCGTGGCCCGCGCCGAGGACCGGAGTATCTATGCGCGAGCGGTGCGTAGCAGTTCCCTATCTGGCCTGGCGATGCAATACTACGGTCAGCATACTAACGTGTTCTTTCACCACCACTAGGGCCGGACCGGCGTCGCCATCGCCAAGACCAAGCAGGCCATTGTCGTCGGCCACCATGGAGAGACCCAGGTCGCTGGCAACGCCACCTCGACCGTCGAGAGCTTGGCCGACTACCTGATCGGCCAGGGATACTAAGAGATGGGCATGTACGATGGAGCCGAGCCGCTCGCCGCTTTTCGTGGGCGGGCTGGCGAGGAATGGTGTCGGGCAACGCATGGCGTATGCCTTGTCCAGCAATACATACGGTCCAGGCAGGGACAGCTAGCTACCGGCCCTGAGAGGCCGCGCGACGTTGCGTCTGCAAACATGGGGTTCTTTATTTGAGCCTGCAATCTTTACCTTACCTACTTCCCTATATGAAACCTAGAATCTTCCGTGACATCTGGGGTATGTTGCGTCTTCAGCAGGGCGGCAAAAGCCCTCTGGCCAGGTCCGATACTTTTCTTTTTAGGTGCTGTGACTTCTCTCCCGGGAAATGGTTGAGCCCTTCTTGCCAAATTGACACCGTCGAAAGGTCATGCAGGTGTTGGTGGTGGTGATATAAGCCAACGAGGCCCTACATGTCAACTACCTACCTAGTAGTCATAGAACGATCGTGCCGACGGCTGCAGCAAAGCACCAAACGTATCGACAGCTGGCCACAGGAGAGAAGAGCGAGTTACTTCAGGTGATATAGAAATGTTGCAACCAGAACATGGGACATGTGTACGGCATCAAATGCCTGCCAGTCTAGGCAGCGACGACCACACAGCTTCAAGCTGGCTCGTGATACATTGTTGTACATGATTAGGCCTTTCCCCCCTTTCATTACGCCGTTGCACGTCTCAGTAACGCCGGATCCCCGCTCCCTCTATACCCGGGCCAGTCTCTTTTGTAATCGTTCCCACAAAAGCTGCGGAATATGCGTCGTCGCGTTACGCCAGCCTCGGTCCGGCCGTTCGCTTCGAGCGCGTCCCGAAGCGAAGCGAGGTCCCTGGCCGTCGTGCCCTTTTTCGTCAAAAACCCGTTTTGCGATTCTGTGGATAACACCACCTTCCCGCGCGCGCCCGCGCCACTCGTCGGCTTTTCATACGGGCAGCTCGGCGTTCCTGCGCCCCAGGCCGGCCCGGTCGACGAGCATGCCGATGTACGGCCCCACGACGGGTAACCCGCGCGCGAAGCCGGCGATGGTGCCGAGGAAGTCGCCGAATAGCACGACGATGCCGTACGCCTCGACGAGGAAGCCGATGAAGGTCCACCGCAGGAGGATGAGGGCGAGGCCGACGAAGAAGGCGGCGGTGCCCTTGGCCTTTTGCTTGCGGGCGAAGAAGAGGAGCGTCTTTTGCGGGCCGATGATGATGGTGAGGCCGATGAGGAAAAGGATCTATTCAGGCGGGAAAGGGAAGGTCTGCGTGTTAGTCGTGTTTTACGGTTTCGGCGGGTTGGGTCGCGGATCGAGGGAGGGAGGAGGGGGAGGGGCGGCTTCGTACATTGCCCATGGCAAGCCTGCGGGAGTCGCGTCAGCATTTGCCTGCAGTGTAGTCAGTCGCGGTGTGGTTCGGCTTACATGGCGCGATCAAAGAAGAGCATCACTCCTCCGATGAGGAATAAGCCTCCTGGAAAGGGGGGGAAAGCGGGATGTCAGCGTCTGCGCTGCGCGGGCAGAGTTACGCGGGCGCATGCCTACCGCCAGAGCAGAAGACCACCCCGATTTCTGTCAACAGCCAAGTTAGCATGCGTGTAGCTTCGGCGACGCTCGTTGCGACGCGGTCCCGCCTCGTGCAGGCTTGCGACCGCGCGCATCACGGTGCTAGGTAGGTAGGGGGGAGGGAGCGGCGTACTTTGGGAGTCTGATAGCCACATCGACATGTTGGCGGTTGTGTGTTGAAAGCGCGAGGGGGAGGAGAGGTTCGGGCTGCGATTTAAGGGAAACGCTGAAGGAGAATGCGACACTGCGGAGAAGCACAGCACAGAGAGCTTGGGATCGCGGTTCGAGGGGTGGAAAGTTTGGCTGTCGCAAGGAGAGGTCGAGTTCGCGGATGCTCTCTCGCCTGCTTGCGAGGCCACCTTGGCTCCGGCCAGGGTCTCGCAGTCGCTCGCTTTAGGGCTTAGCGCCCCCGCCGCTCTTGCGCCCTAGCTGAAGGGAAGCTTAGGGCAGTCAGTGACACGAGCCCAAGGTCAGTTCCCATGTCACCAGAAACCACGTCGACAGGTACAGTATCGTCGTTCCTTGATAAAGTGCCGCGCTTTGCCTTTCAACCAACGCGACGAAGATGTGGCTATTCGAAAGCCGCAACTGTATTTTGGGAAGCCCAACCGCCGTTGTATGGCGCATACGCTCAGCGCCGACATTCATGCACGTGTAAACGCTTAACACGTGCCAGTGCCGGAAGCCTCTAAAGCGGCACGGTGCCTGACGAACTGGCAGGGGGGGGGCCGAAAGACCCACCTCGCGGCACAGCGTGCGCGCCAGACAAATTTCCAGCCATTTTCGAAGCTTCAACTCTGCTCTCCCCTCACACACGATGCAGAACATGCGCACACGCACGCCTCTACGCCACGAAACAGCGCCGCGCCTGGCCGACATCCGAACGGTATCTTTCAGATGAAGGGCCTTGATAACTTGTAGGCGACGCACAGCAACGAGTCGCTGCAAGACGGCGCCGTCACTGCATCGTACGCTGTTGGCCAAGTGGCCTGGACACCGGCCGGTGGCACGACCTGTTTCGAGGCGAGAAGAAGTGTGCGTGGGTGCTCATTGTTGAAGCCACGCCATGGGAGGCGAACAGAAACGCTTTACATTGCTCGCTCGCACAAGCGAGCCCAGACATCCGTCTACCATTACTATACATGTATGCCACGACGGCCACAAGCTCCGCGCTTTGGCAACTGAGATTCGTCCCCCGTACGCTCTCGGTACTCTGTCGGCCTGGCAGAGAGCAAACCTCCTCGATCACGATTAAGCCGGAGCGTCAATTGCCATCCCTCTGCCGAAAGGCTCAGGGTGCATAGTTGGGGCTTGACTTTGTTGGTCGGACATTTTCTTTCCCGTCGTGAACGTCCTCGTAGCATGGAGCAACATGTGTCTCCGTGATCCATTGGGTAGACTCGGTCCTTTGGCGGCGTGCTTGTCTTTGCAGCCTGCCGCCGCTCCGTCGTGTCCGTCCCGCGTCATAAGGGTCGCGCCCGTCCATCATTTCAGGACCGTGTGCGCGCTGCGTGCCTCGAGGAACATCTCGGCAGACGTCTGCGGCAGCGACCGGATCAGCCCAAACACCTCCTTGTTGTGGTACCGCATCCGCGTCTTCGGGTCGAGGTAGGGTGCCGGCAGGCCCGTGACGTCGCAGTAGTGCTTCGAGTGCGCCAGCGACGGCGCCGACTCGATGTTGGTGTAGGTCGCGCTCGGGGCGGACACGGCCAGCCCGCCGGGACCGGCGCCGCCCGTCTTGAGGCTCTTCTCCAGCACCAGCTTGGAGAGGCTGCGCGAGGCCTGCGCCAGGTTGGGCGGGTTGCTGCCGTTGGCGTTGTCGTTGGAGCTGAGCGCGGGCGTCGAGGTGCCGCTCGTGGAGAGGCCGTCGTCGGCGGCGGGCGTGGCGTTGCCCGAGACGTCCTGCGGGGTGGCGAGCGCCGAGGCCTCCCTCCTGGAGGCGTCGCCGACGATGGCCTTGAGGTTCTTGTTGCGGCGCTGGTTGGGCCGCCAGTTGGGGTTGCGGAAGTGCTTGTGGATGGAGTGGATGTCGAGCTGCTCGATGAGCTGCTGGTGTGCGAGCTGCGCCTCTGTCGGGGCGGCCATGGTGTAGGTGTCGGTGCTGGAGAGTCGGGACAGATGGCAGTCCGTGGTTTATGCGGCCGTTTGGATGCGTGCGGTGGGACAATGTGGCGATTGGACGTGGTGTTGCGGACGGGAGGAGTTGATCAAGGGCAGGCGTTCATGGCGTTGTTCTGCCACGGCCCACCGTGCGCGTCCGTGTTGTCACTGTCCGTCCACGGCGCCAAAGCTCACCACTTTAGCTGGGAAACGACGCCGTGCCGCGCCTCTAGCAACCACACCTCACCACGCCAACGCTGTCAATAAAAAGCACCCGTCTCGTGCGGCACAGTGACCGAAGCAAAGCATGGTGAGACCCTAGCCATGTGCGGTCGACGGCCAAGTGACATGCTCTAATCGTAAACAGGAGAGCCCGCACGAGCATCAGCAGAACCTCCTGCTGTCCCGCATCATCACCAACGTGGTATGCCACGGCTCTTGCCCGACGCCGAAGGGTGGGCCACTGACAAGTCACAGGAGAAACTCAATGAAGCAGTCGTCGTCATGAACAAGAGCCTACAAGTCAGTCGAGTGCATCCGTGTGCGCAGAGATTAAGCAGCCTAACGCGCGTGTTCAGGAAATCAACATTCAGAACATGAACGTCGAGCTGGTGGCGCAAATGTTCAAGAACTACCAGTCCAACGTGCTGTTCCACCTCGAAGGTGAGCGCCTACAATGAACTCTACTTGTGGTTTTTCTTACAGTTGTTTAGCTACGGATAACCTCAAGCCGCCGTCGTAGATTATGAGAGGTACGGAAGCGGCAACATGGGGTAGTACGAGGGTTTGGCCGGGCAACAGAGCACAACACGATGGCTCGTGGGAAGAGCAGAAAGCTCCGTGTACTCGTAACGATGTAATGACTCATATACCTTGCGTTTTTGTCGCGATTGTTTTTCGCCTTGTCAGTGACCCGACGTGCGCCGCCAGACGCGTCCACCACCAGCGCTCCCGCCAATTCACACCCGCGATGTGTTAGCGGCGATGCTCGTGCGCGCGCCACCTATTGCATCCCTTGACCCACCTCCAAGACCTCTCTCCCGTCGTCAGCCTCGCAGCCTCGCAGCACCTTACTTTGCGCCGTTCACCTCCGTCCCCGTCCCCGCAGCACCGAACGCGCCATCGCGGTCCGCCTCGCAATCGATTGGGTGCGACCCTGACCCTCCCGTCGCTGTGGTCTGCTTCACCATGAGAGTCTGAACTCGTCTTTCCGTCGCCAGCACCACCACCTCGATTCTCGCCAGCGACTGCCATAATGGCGCCCTCCGCCGTCGACGAGAAGCCCATCGGCCCGCCCGAGGCGAAGACGTATCCGCCCGCTCACATCTTTCCCGTCAAAGAGACTCGATTCGAGAAGTACATCGACCCGCAGGAGGATGGGCGCAAGCGAGCCCTCGAGAACCCGGACACGGCGGCCATCGTCATTGACAATGGTATTACGACCCACGAGACGCTGACTCCCAATCGCAAGCACAATCTGACGCCCCTGCCACAGGCTCCTCTGCCGTGCGAGCCGGCTGGTCTTTCGAGTCGGCCCCGCGCTTCAGCATCCCCCCGATCATGTCCAAGTACCGCGACCGAAAGCTCGGAAAGACCTTCTCCTTCGCCGGCTACGACTGCTACGCCGACACGACGGCCCGAGGCCACATCCGAAACGCCTTCGAGGCCGGCACCGGCATCGTCAGCAACTGGGATGTCATGGAGCACGTCCTCGACTACGTCTTCCTCAAGCTTGGCATGAACAACGCCGACGGTGCAGTCGACGTCCCCGTCGTCATGACCGAGGCCGTGGCCAACCTGCCCTACTCTAGAAAATGTCCGTCTCGGCCGAGCTCTACATATAGACATCCGCTAATAGCATACTTCAGCCATGACCGAGATCATATTCGAGTGCTACGGTGCGCCTTCGCTGGCCTACGGCATCGACTCGCTCTTTTCCTACCGACAAAACCAGGGCAAGACGGGCCTGGTCGTCTCCTCCTCCTATACCTCCACCCACGTTATACCAGTCTACAACTCCAAAGCGATGCTCGCACAGGCCATCAGGTTAAACTGGGGCGGCTACCACGGCGCCGAGTACCTGCTCAAGCTGATCCGCCTCAAGTACCCAGCCTTTTCGGGCAAGCTCAACGTGTCGCAGGCCGAGAACATGATTCGGGACCACTGCTACGTCTCCAAGGACTACGACAACGAGATCAGGAGCTACCTGGACTGGACGGGTCTCGAGGACCGTGATGTCGTGATTCAGTATCCCTACACCGAGGAGGTGATAGTGCAAAAGTCGGAAGAGGAGCTTGCTCGGATAGCAGAGCGCAAAAAGGAGAGCGGCCGGAGACTCCAGGAGCAGGCCGCCAAGATGCGGCTGGAGAAGCTGATGAAGAAGGAGCAGGACCTCGAGTACTACAAGAACCTTCAGAATCGTCTGGTGGACGAGACCAAGAAGGAGACTCGCCGTCAGCTGGACAGCCACGACCTCAAGGACGAGGCGCAGCTCGACAAGATTGTCAAGGAACTGGAAAAGTCCATCAAAAAAGCCCGCACCAAGGATGTTGGCGGCGACCCGGAGGAGGAGCAAGAGGCACCAGACTTTGGTCTCCTCGAGATCCCCGACGACCAGCTTGACGAGGCGCAAATCAAGCAGAAGCGGCAGCAGCGTCTTCTCAAGTCGAACCACGAGGCCCGCGCCCGTGCCAAGGCCGAAAAGGAGGCTGAAAAGGCCCGTGTCGAGGAGGAGGCGCGCCTGGACAGGGAGCGGCGCGAGAATGACCTGGAAGGCTGGCTGGACGAGAAGCGACAGCGACGCCTCGAGACGCTGTCCAAGATTAAGGAGCGCGACCGCCTCAAGGCCGACCTCGGCAACCGCAAGTCGCTGGCGTCGCAGATCCGCATGAAGAGCATCGCCAACCTCGCGTCGGACAACCCGACCAAGAAGCGGCGGCGGGGCGGCGACGACGACAACTTTGGCGCCAACGACGACGACTGGGGCGTGTACCGGCAGATCGCCGTGGGCGACAACAGCGACGACGAGCAGGAGGAGGAGGACCTGGCATCCAACCTCAAGCAGCTCGAGCAGGAGCTCCTCAAGTACGACCCGGAGTTCGACTACGAGCAGACCGAGGAGGCCAAGTCGGACTGGTCCAAGTCGCTGCTGCACGCCTTCGCGCGCGGGCCCCGGCCCTTCAACCCGGCGTCGCAGGCCGAGCTCAACCAGATCCACCTCAACGTCGAGCGCATCCGCGTCCCCGAGGTCGTCTTCCGCCCCTCCATCGCGGGTGTCGACCAGGCCGGCATCGTCGAGATCGCCGGCGACGTCCTCAACCAGCGCCTCGCGGGCGTGCCCAACCGCGACGACTTCCTCCGCGACATCTTCCTCACCGGCGGCAACACCCTGTTCCGCAACTTTGACGACCGCCTGCGCGACGGCCTGCGCGCCCTGCTCCCCGCCGATGCGCCCCTCGTCGTGCGCCGCGCCGCTGACGCTTGCCTCGACGCGTGGAAGGGCGCCGCTGGGTGGGCCGGCTCGCCGGCCTGGAAGGAGGCGCGCATCTCGCGCGAGGAGTACCAGGAGAAGGGACCCGACTACATCAAGGTAAGTTAGCGCTTCGTTCGGCCCATCCATGACCGGCAGAGCATGCTGTCTGAAAGACACGAAACTAACCGCTTTGCCCCCGCAGGAACACGATATGGGTAACTCGTACGCGTGATCTGGGTAGGCATGCTTCAGCAACAGCTCCGGGAGTCGGTAGGAAACGGTCTGTGTTTTTATCTGCGGGTTAGGAGTCTTGATTGCGTTCTTCATTCGTTGTTTTGAGGTCAAAAGTGAGACTTGCAGAATCAAAAAGGGCACCAGTTCACCTGGCACAGCACCCCACCGTTGGTCAGGACAGGCCCGTATCTATCAAATAAGTCTTGTTCAACGCTACAACCAGCATCCATGCGACAGCGTCAAGCCACTACCCGTCCTAAAGACTTCTCGCATCGACACATACCAATTCCAAAGTCCAAACGCCAAGGCATCGCCTCGCGAGACGAGCCGTCACCTCCAAAAACGCCCCTAACGTAAAAATGACATGTACGCCGCGGGACGGCCCCCGGGCATGTTGTCCTACTCTGCCCGGGCGACACCCTCCTCGGGCTGCAGCTGCCGATTGATCTCTTCGGCCGTGCGCGTATCTTCCTCGGCTCGGTTGGCGTACGCCTGTCGGTCCTCGTCCATCTGCTCCTGCAAGCCCGCAACGGCCTGGGCGACCGCCTCCAGAGGGGTCCCAGCCGCGGGGTTGTTGTTGGGGTCGCCAGGGGGCTGCTCTGGCCCGCTGGCCGGGGGTGGCGGCTGAGCAGCCGCGGGCTGGGAGAGGTTGATGTTGGGTGGAGGCTGAGGAAACTCGCCTTGAATGTCCAGCAACCTCGACTGTAGGTGAATGACATACTCGCGCAGCGCGTAGTTTTCTGTCTGCATGGCCTTGAACGTCTGCTCCATCTCGCCGTACTCCCGAACCTGCTGTTCGAGCTTCTTGATGTAGCCCTCTTTCCGCTGACGGAACGCTCTCTGTAGGTGACGAGGTCAGTGAACAAGACCAGGAGTGAAAATGTGGCCAGGACAGCTGGCGCATGGAATTGGCTCACCTGGGCAGCTCGGTTCTGCGCGGCACGCTTGGACTGCGACAGCTCACGCTTCGCTTTCCGTCCATCCGCAGACGAACCCTGGTCCGGAGACGCGACGGGCGGCGCCGGAGCTATGGACGCGTTCTGGGGAGGGGCGGGAGAAGTGCCCGGGCTGTGTCCAGACGGGGGCGCCATGGGCATCATGTTTGGAGCGGGCGCGCCGTGGCCGGGAGCCGCGCGAAGGTCAGGGTGAATGTGTGACTCGGCCTCGGTCTTGACGGCTATGGCGCGAGCGGCGTCGTGTGAGGCGGCAGCCAGCTCGTCGTATCCATTCGCGGCACGCGCGGGCGGAGAGTGGGAGGGAGCGGCCCTCGCGTCGCGCGCACCCGACGAGTCCGCGTCGTGGTTTTGCAAGAGCTCGAGCTGCGCGCGCAAATGCTGCTCTGTTGGCATCCAACCGCGACCGTGTTAGCAGGGGAGCTCCGTCTCCAGGCCAATTGAGGCGCAAACGGCGGGTATGCGACAAATGTGAAGCGAGGAGAGTGAGGAAACCAGCGGCAACGCAGATGGAGTCGCCGCGGTTCTACCACGACGGCGAAACGCCTCTCGAGCGAATAAGTGCTCTAGAAGACAGGATCGCCTCTGACGATGCAGGCAGTGGTGTAAGGGCAGGCGGTGATGCAAACGGGGATATAGTGGTGAGTGTCGGCAGCTCAGAAATCACAGCCGCGACGTGCAGCTGGCAATGCGTCGTTGCATGCGTCTCGCCACTGCACACACACGGCAAAGACAAATCGAAGCAGAAGACAAAGACGAAGCGATCGTTGAGACTGACCTTGATTGCTGGTGCCCGTCGTCTGCTGCATTGCTCGAGATTCTGACTCAGCAGTCGAGGAAGCGGGAACGGGGGATGACTACGCAGGAATCGAGGCTGCTGACGTGAAGGGAAAAATGAGGGCGAGCGAGGGGAGGACACTACGGCGCTGTGGTATGACCGCTCCTGCTTCGTCTTCGTCGACTTGCGGCTTCTGCTTCTGGCGGCGGTGGGGCTGGGGTGTGGGTGGGGCCGGGGGCGTGTTTGCGTTGCGTGCGGCATTGGGAATGCGATTATGTAAGAGGGCGCAGCTGGGAAGGAGCCGAAGGCCGGCCGCCCACCTTCCTTCCCTCTGTTGCCGGCCAGAATGGACGGAAGCAAGTGCGATCCCCCAAATTGGGCGCTCATCAGCGTGCCACCGCGCCCATTCAAGGTTGCTCCTGAGGTAGGTGGTCAGTGGTGATGGGTAGCTGGGCATCCGGCGGCGCCTTCCCCTCCGGTTGTGCTGGCGAAGGCGGGCGGCCGGAGGTGCAAGTACATACGGGCTACTTGGCGGACGTGTTGTTACGTGTTGCTCTCGATGTTGGGGCTGTTGGGTGTGCCCCTGCAGGCAGACTCTGGTGTACTTGCCGGCAAGTACTTGCAGCGTATGAAATACATGGCGTCACGTCGTCCAAACTTGTACTCGGTTATGCTCTGCGCCGCGCCGCCTGGCCGCATTTCGCCCAGCCATGCCGCTTTTCCCCCGTCAACAACCCCCCGCCCCCCAGCTCCGACCCCTCCATCATCGGCATCTTCTCAGCGAAAAAGCCCCAGGCGGTAACGATCGCATTGTCGCCAACGTATCGGGATGGCGGGAACCTTGGGCGTCGGCGTCGTGTCAAGCGGAGATGCAGGCTGCTGGGTTTGTCAGCAACCGCCCAGCCGCTGAGCGGGGGTGGGCGGCCAGGGCGGCCTTACACGCGCGGAGGCAGCGGGCCGGAGGTTGGAAGAGGAGCGCGGCCTCGGAAGACACGCCATGGATTCCAAATGGGGAAATCGGCTCGCCGCCAGAGCCCACTTCCCCGAGTTCTGTTGCGCAATCCGCCCTGGAATCGACGAGCTTCCCGCCGGTATCTCCACGGACTGGCACCTGGTGCGGACGCCTGGTGCGGACACATGGTCGACTGTCTTGACTCGCCTTTTGCTGAACGGCCTGATCAGATGGCAGCGCTGCCTGCCATCATCGCTCAATGGCTCAAGATTCAAGAAGTCACGGACGACTGCGCAGCATCTTCTCAGACCCCGGAGCCGCGTGTGCATCAACCTTTCTGGCGATTGCCAGCTTGGCATTGCCGACTCTGGGCGTGATTACTCCGAGAATGTGTTTGCGATTGGCACGATGCGACGCGGGAGCTGCAGGGGCTGTCACAGCGCGCATTTTCCTGGCCTTGCGCGCGGTACGGAGCACGCAGCGTCGGTCAACAAGATTGCTATCGCTTCCGAAAAGTTGCCGACCTCCTCTCCACACACGACCTTCTGGAAGATAAGCGGACAATTCCATGACAGCTGTCGGACAATTCCAATGTCCGGCCCGCTTGCGTGTTGGCCAGTCACACCGATATGCCTCGCGAATTTCCCAGTTCGAAAAGGTGGTCTGAGGCTCTTTCGTCGCCGCCCAGTGTCGCCTGGACAAGGGTCCCGACTCCCAACAGCGGCAGTAAGCTCGCCCACACTCGTCTCGCCAGGGTCTCGCAATACCTTGGTCAAGTCTTGTATGTACATCTCATGAACCCTAACTACAAAGCGCACCCGCACAAGCTTCCAGACTCGAGGAGCCTATTCCTCGGGCATCCAGGCTGGCAGACTCTTGAAGAGCTTACCCGCCCTCCATACATGAGTAATGTTGTCCGGGTTTGTCAACACCTTGATATCGTCGAGCGGGTTCACCTTGACGGCGATAATGTCGGCATCGTATCCCTCCTTGAGCTGGCCGCTCAGCGGCGCCAGTCCTCCCAGTGTTTCCGGACCGTTGGCCGTCGCACACTCAATGGCCTGCAGCGGCGTCATCCCGGCCTCGACGGCGTACACCAGCTCGTGAGCGTTGTTTCCGTGCGACAGCTTGGACGCCTTGTCGCTGCTCACCATGTCGGTTCCCAGCGCTATCTTGACGCCCTTCTTGACACACAGCTTGTACGACTCTCTGGACTTTTCGACGAGGCCGAGGAGCTTGCGCTTGACCGGCGGCGGCAGCTGATCCATGTAGTCGGTGGAGAGGGTCCGGACGATGTGCTGCGTGGGCACAAAGAGGGCGTCCTTCTCGATCATGAGGTCGGCTACCTCCTCGTCGATGTACATGCCGTGCTCAATGGACTTGACTCCGGCGCGGAGCGCAGCCAGGATGCCCGCCTTGCCAATGGCATGGGCCGCGACAGCGCGACGGCTCCTCGCCGCCTCGTCTACCATGGCCTTGAGTTCCTCGTCGGAGAACTGGCGGTCTTCGGGGTCGTCGTTGAGGCTGAGCACGCCTCCGCTGGAGCACACCTTGATGACGCGGGCTCCTCGCCGGATCATCCTCCTGACAGTCTTGATGCAGTCCTCTACGCCGTCGCAGACACCAATGGGCATGCCCCCGTAGTTCATGGCGTCCATGACCGTGGTAATGGGCTGCTGGTGATCGTCACCATGGCCACCCGTAATGGACAGCGCCGCAACCGAAGAGTAGATGTTGGGCCCGACCAGCGGACCATCCCTGACTGCCGGCCACAGGTCGCCAGCATAGCCCTCGAGCTCGCGCACCGACGTGTACCCGGCCATGAGCGTGCGCCTCAGATCATCCACGGTGATGGCGCCAGCCAGGGCGCTGTAGTTGGGCAGGAAGCCCATCAGGCCAGACACAGAGCTCGCCACATCGAGGCCCATGAAGTGCGTGTGGCAATCCCAGAGGCCGGGCATGAGGACATGGACGTAGGTCGGGCGGACGTCGCGATACTTGTGAGGGCGCTCGAGGAACGAACCAACCCACTCGATCGTGCCGCCTCGCACGGCGATGGCGCCATTCTGAATTGGCTCTCCGCGACCGGGGATGAGGGTCTGCGCCCAGATGAGCGTCACGACGGACTCATCCACGGGGCTCTCGACGTCGATGTGCGACTGAGGGAGCTGCTGGCGGCGGATCGGGACGCGCATCTTGTCTCCTGTTGCGTCTAGGGTAGGTAGATTCCTCGTATGAACTGATCAGGGTTCTTGTCACCCAATTCGCAAGACAAGCCCTTGATATGAGGCCGACAAAGCAATGCTTGACTGCTTGGAGATGTGACAGACTGTCTTTAATGCCAGATGAAAGTTCAATGCCAAAGGGCTGGGCAGGACGTGGGGGGAAGCTTCGTGATCCTGCTGCTTAAATGTGGGTGAAGGCATGAGGAGAGGCGGGTACGGTTGCCGACGGACACTAGCGCCAAGATGTTGATGGCGATCCTGGGGTAAATTGGACTGATAGCTACTGCGCGGCGGTGATTGTGCGAGTCCATGAGTATAGCCAAGTAGTATAGCCAAATGAATGATAGTATGCGTAGCCTCGAAGGCTGTCAGTCGATTTAGACATACCGATATCCTGCCCCGGAGGTCGACTCAACGAACCGCCGCCGCCGCCGCACAGTGCACGTCCGCCCCGAGAGTCCCCTGCCTGTGGAGCCGGAGCTTTCCTCGACGCCGCCCGCCGAGGCGCCTCCTCAGGCGCCGCAACGCACCTGAACCACACCTAAGCTCAAGCTCAGCTCACTTGGTATCGCCGCCTCACCCTCACCCCGCTGCCGTCCACCCTCCCGACGGCATCGCCATGTCACGCCGCCTCTTTCTCTCCAGCCCACTGACGCGTGCCTCTCACATAACACGCCCCGCAACGATACGATCCCCCTTTCTCGTCGCGCCCTTCTCCTCATCATCATCCTCCGCATCCACATCGACGTCGTCGATCCCCTCAGCCATGGAGGATACGAAGCCGCGCTTCTCAGCCGGCACGGACGAGGCGTCCGCGCAGGTGGCCCTCGCGCCGCTGCTGCAGGCTTCGTCGCCGTCGTCCTCGGGCGGCGGCGCTGCAGGAAGCGGACGCTGGGCGCTCGTCAAGGACGGGGAGGCTCTGGAGCGGAGCTTCAAGTTCAAGACGTTTGCCAAGACCTGGGTGCGCGTCAACAGCCCGCTTTCCCCCTGAGTTGACTGGGCCCCTTTCGTGCGCTTGACTGACGACGGGATGGCGGTGGTGTGTATAGGATTTCATGACGGCCGTGTCGCTGCAGTGCAAGCTGAAGAACCATCACCCAGAATGGTCTAATGTGCGTCTCCTCTCACCACCTACCACTCTGCCTGCCTGTCTGCCTGCCCATGAAGCGTGGTTGCCAGTCACACGCGCACATCATGGGAAGAGTGTACGGAGTATCGGCAGAGAGAAGCGCGTCGCTTATGAATAGTACCGTAGGTCTACAACACGACGTTTATCCGCTGGACTACGCACAACCCAAAGGGCCTGTCGAGCAAGGACGTCGATCTGGCGGCCGTGTGCGACGCTCTGGCCAAGGACTTTGGCGAGCTGGAGCCCGAGCCGGTGAGCTGCGAGGTGCGGGATGTGGCGGACCGGGCGGTCGGCTCGGCGGGCGGGGAGTGTTGCGTGCCGCCGAAGAAGTGACGGCGTGGAGTAGGTTCGTGTAAGATGGAATGTGCTGTACTGTACTACTATCAAGCGCTTCAAGGGTCGCGCATGAAACCGTCACAACGAGAAGGGATGGAACGTCAACAGAACTTGAAGGACTTAGCATCCCTTCACATCGACCTTTGGAGATTCAGGGATTGCTGTTGACTGTCTGAGTGATCGGCCAGTGTTATTATTAGTATTCGTCTAAGCCTTCCCCGGGCCTGCCACAAGGTGTGCGTCGGCCGCAATGTATATACAAGAGCTCAAATGCCATACTCGGCTCGCACTTCCCAAACGCCATGTGAATGCCAAACACTGCCCTCCAGCCTGGCATGATCGTCGTGACTGGCCATTAATCTATTTTATCTCAGATGGCATGCGCTTGTCTTTCTGCTGGCCGAAGCCGTGCGCGTTGACCCGGTTGTCGTTGTGACACCTTGGGTGCTCTTCGATTGCAAGGGTTCCATTCCCGCTGGTCGCTCATTGCTGCTTCTTGGCGTCCCGGATGGCCTTGAGCTTCTTCTCACGGCGCTTCTTGTGGGCCTCGGCACCGGCCTCGGTGTCCAGGCAGTAGTCCCACCAGCGGAAGCTCGAGGCGTAGTTGCCGATGAACTTCTCGTGGTGCAGGTCGTGGTGGTCGGCGCCGGCCCAGACGGGCAGGAAGTGGCGCAGGCTCCAGGGGAAATCGTAGCCGCTGTGGGCGTCGATGGCCTGGAAGAGACGCAGGATGATCCACGTGTACATGGTGATGAGGTGGAGGTCGCCGGTGACGCAGAGCAGGAGAATCGGGGAGCCGACGACGCCGATGCCGAGGAGCATTGTCTCAATGGGCGAAGCGTACTCGGCAGCCAGGCCAAAGGGGGCCGAGTAGGTGTGGTGCATCTTGTGGATGGCCTTGTAGAGCGGGCCGTAGTGCAGGGCTCGGTGGAACCAGTAGTGCCAGGTATCCTCCATGACGAAGAGGATGGCAATCTGGATAGCCATCTTGAGCACTGACGGGAAGGGCACGCCGTAGTCCATGCCAAAGTATGTGGCGATGGGATGGAAGAACCAGATCTGGGGCAGCTCGGCGGTGAAGTGGCTGACGAGGACGATGGCGGCGCAGTCCCACTGCTCCTTAAGCGTCGGCATCTTCTGCGCCTGAATCTTGTACTTGTTGAAGTAGGGGATCTTGTCCATGATCATAAAGGGGAGGCAGCGGCCGAAGTAGACGATTTCGTGCATGACGAAGCTCATGATGCCGGTCGCGAGGGTGTCGTTTTGCATGAAGAGGTACCAAGCCTGCGCGCGCCCGGGTTAGCCCACGACTGTTTCACATGTGTTTGTTGGGAGGGCGGAGCGGTGGCGATGTCGCACGCGCCGGCGCCCATTGCCCATCAGCCGGAGGAGAGAGGACGTACGGCCCAGAGGCGCTCGAGGTAGTTGAGGTGAACATTGTACTTGCCGACCTCCTCGAGGACGGTGAAGTAGTCCTGCGTCTGGTTGCCCAGGGCCTTTGCGGTCGCGTTGCTGCGAGGCATCGCGTTAGCGACGTGACGGACGACGATAAGGGGGTTCTGTCGAGGCGGTACTCACACCATGTCCATCTTGGCGCGGAGGATGCGAATGCGCGGCCGATTGCTGAATGAATAGGGCGGACGAACGACGGCGACGACCGTGAAGAACGCAAAAAAGGAAAGAAAAAGGGACTGCAACTGCAACAGTCGTGATGAGGCGACTGGAAGCAGAAAGGGTCGATAGGAGATCGCGGTGGGGGGGGAGAGGAGGGAGATTTTATCGGCTCTCATTTAAAGTGACCCTTGCTGGGGGGCGGCCCTATTTTTTTCTTCGCCTCCGGCCGCGCCAGTTGAGGTCAGGAGATGGCGAAGCGTTCGGGTTCCGTGCTGTAGCGCGGGTTTCCAGGGGCAGCTGCACGCTGGACTCGTCCACTCAGCGCCCTGTGCCTCAGCGGCTGCAGCGAACGGGAGGATGCGAACCTCCACTGAAAGGTCCCCCGGTGGGGCGGGCTCGGCCTGGTGCGATGGCTCCAGAATGAGCCCACCATCCAGGGCGACTTTCCGATGTTCCGGGGGGTCCAGCGCTGGAGAAACGCATGATGTGAGGAACGCGGACTGTGGCTGGTGCGCGGGCGCAGCCACAGATGCCGGCCAGCGATCCGAATACGAGGGAGCGAGCGAGTGAGCACGTGAAGGGTGCAGCACTCGACGAATGCACCACAACTGAACGCAGGGACAAGCGACGGCCTCAATTGTCGGAGACGTGATTCGTGCGTTGCAACTATATCTTCTGCGACGGCCCCAAAGCGTGCGCGTCTCGAAACGACGGCAGACCTCTCAGGCCATGCTGGACGGTCACTGAACGACCTCGTCGGTGCATCACCGAGTACGGAGTACGTACCGCCCGCCCGCCCTACATAATACAGCGATCGAACCCGAACACGAGAGCGCTCCGGGCGCGGGCGGGCGGGCCCCACCACACCCGATCGTCCGCCAAACGCAGAGCTCGCTGTCATCTGTCGCCCAGCAGCTCTCCCACCGTGCAGATTATCTGTGACGCGCCCGTTGGCCAACGCCCGCCACCACCACCCGACGCATCATCGGGACCTCCACCATCCGTTCGACCTCGCCGCGCGCCGTGGTGCCATAATCCGAGCCGCGCAACACGCTCCCGTTCCAGTTCCAGGGAGCTGTGCCGCCCGTCCACTCACGCGTCTCTCATTCCTCTCCCCCGCAACTCCCGCGCGCCACTCGGCCAGCCCGGTCCATGCCCGCGCATGAGGCTCTGCTTTACCACCACCCTCACGAGTGCCACCGCTAGTGCCGGGCCCATGCACATGTCCCGCCTTCTTGCCTGGGCTTGCGATCCTACACCTCTGACAACATCGTACCATGACGCTCGTCTCCGAGTAAGTGGTCCTCGGGCTCGCCCTGTCCCAGGCTGCCCCTCTCGGCCTCTTCGTTCCCGTGCCTGCTGACCAGCTTCTTGCTCCTCCTCACAGTCAGGTGCGGCGTCTTGATGCGTACCTCGATCGTCTCCCCGTCCTCTCCGAAGGCTCGTCCGATGACGGAGCTTCTGAGGGCGAGGAGCATGGCTTTGCCGTTGCCGTAGCCGACGCCGCTGCAGCTTCAAGGCTGGAACAGCTCCTCCGCATCGTTCAGTCGCTGAGCACGACCTCGTCCTCGCAGCCACTGCTTCCTGCAAGCCGGGTACGGACCCTTCTCATCCAGTCCGGCATACCCTCCGCCAAATCCCGACTAGAGGAGCCAGACGCCGCGAGAGCTGCCTACACAGAATCAAAGAGCGCATACGAAAACGAGATCGAATGGCTGTTGGTCACCAAGGCCACTGTCCAGGTATACGGCGCAATCCTGAACAACCTCTTGGAGCGCATCATCCCGTTGAGCGACGACATCTGGTACTGGTCCGAGGTTCTGAATTCCTATACCTACAGCAGCCTCTATACCGTGCAGACGTCACCGCTACGTCTGTGGGCATGGACGCAGGATGTTTACGTCGCCAGCAAGACACGCATGCGCTCCATGTCTGTCCGAGATGCGCCGGCCGATATCGTCGACTCTACCGCATCGGGCATGTCGCAGCAGTGGAAACAGTTTTACGGCATCGTTCGCGACACGATCCGGGAGCGATCCTTTGCAAACATCCAACGCAAAGTTCTATCTCCTCTTGCACTCTGCCGGGCCGAAGCACGGCACAAACAGGCCCAGCTGAAGAAGCTCAGGGAGATCACAGCGAGCGGTCTTGGCGTGTTAATCGACGAGGGCCTCCAACTCGGTCATGACGACGAAAAGGCCGAGGTGCACGATCATCAAGACCTCAAGGGCGTGGTTGAGCGCAGCGTGGCGCTGATGGATGTTGTTCTGAAGGAGGTGTGCACTCTAGATGTCAACATTGACGACTTTGAAGATAAAGTCTTTGCCGGCGTCGAAGAAGACCCGGAGTTGTCAGTTCATCTTGAAGATAGCGTCACGCCAGACCGGCCGGCCGTGTTAGCCCGCCGCCTACTGCGCATTATGGACAGAACTCTGCCGGAACACTTCAACGCCATGCAGTCGCTAGCCCAGGCGAACGGGCGCCCGCCCCGCATTGTCCGATATTGGTTGCCGGCTGCCGTCGGCGTTCTGTCCTCCACAACGGTGCTTCGGATCCTGGTGAATCGCAAGGCGGATATCATCGACTGGATCACAGGGTTTGGCCAGACAGTCCGAGACTTTTGGTTCAACTGGGTTGTTCAGCCCTTGGCCAAGGTGATCAAGACCATCCGGCACGACGAAACGAGCGAGATCGCCATCATGAGCAGAGATAGCCTGAAGGCGGATCGCGAGAGCCTGGAGCGCATGGTGGTGGATTTCGCCGTCGACAAACCTCACTTTGCTGCGGAGGCCTCGTCGCTGTCGGACGCTCAGATTGCTGAGATACGCACGAAGGTTGCTGAAGGAGACGTGACGCCCGTCCTGCGGGCGTACGAAAAGGACTTGAAAAGCCCGTTCATGGGAGCTGTCCGCGGCGACCTCGTTCGGTCTCTGCTTATTCAGGTGCAGAAGACGAAGGTGGACTTGGAGGTAGCCATGACAGGCATCGACTCGCTGCTGAAGAGCCAGGAGCTCGTGTTTGGCTTCGTGGGACTGACACCAGGGATCCTAGTCTCGATCGGCGTCATGCAGTATCTGCGCGGTGTGCTCGGTGGCCGTTCCTGGCACCGACAGGAGCGAAAGGCCGGGCGAGTCGTCCGCATCCTCCGAAACATCGATCGGATACTTTCGGAGGCGAGGCCGACGGAGAACAACGTCCTGTCCTACAAGGACCACGGCCTGCTGCTGTGCGAGGTGCACGTGCTGCGGGATCTGGCGGGCAAGCTCATGCCACGCGACATTCGCAAGGAGTTTTTGGAGGACCTCGACGATCTGGCCAACATCAAGGGCATACAGGTGCAGGCCAAGGCGCTCGACAGGATCCGCTGGGCGTATGCCAGATGGCTCAAGTAGGAGCCCCCTCTGGTATGATGTTGACGAGTCAATTTAAGCATCACAGAGCATGAGCATACGGCGGTAGCGGCGGATCCGGGTCAGCGCCCCACAGAACTCTCAAACGCGTAGAGGAAACAAAAGTACAGCAACAAATAGACGAAACAAAAAGCCTTGCCAAAAGCGGCATCAGTACGTTTTGTTCAACCGGGCTCCACAGCTTGTGAATGCGAGGATGTGTGTGTCTGAGGATGTGACCACCCGTTCGTGCCGACGATAGCCTGGTCATCAAGGTGGAGGATGCATGGCTGATGCATCGCGCAGATGCAGTTGCAGGGGCGGCGGCGCGGATGACTGAGTTTGGAATGGCATGGCGTCACGCCAAGTCGCTCATCCAACACGGTACCGGGTACAAAGAGCGACTTGGCCATTACTATAAGGGAGGTCACGCTGTCTCTGGCAGATAAGAACCCAGCGAACCTAGGTATGTCTTTTTTGCCGTGCCTGGTTGTAATAAATGCTCCAATATGCATCGCTAATAATCATTACACGCCCGAAAATGCTCTCAAACTTTTATACTTGACGTCCGCCGCCGTCGTCGTCGGTCTGGTGGTGCCCGGGAAGTCGCCGTCTCGTCTGGCAATGATTGCACGACTCAGCTCAGGCGACATGGGGGAAACCAAAAAAAGAAAGACGCGGACGGATGACTGCTTCATACCCTCCTGTCGCTGCCTCCGGCCTGCTCCTTCTCGCGAATGTCCTGCAGGCAGGGTGCGAAGAACATCTCGCCCGTGACGACGAGGTGCATCGTCCGGATGGAGACCATGAACCACAGGGCGACGACGGCGAGGGAGAGAATCTAAGATACGGGCACGACGGCAATCAGCGTCACATGGACATATCATCAGAGAGAGAGAGAGAGAGAGAGAGAGAGAGAGGAAAACGGTGCCCGGGTCGGGTCGGCTGCTCACCATTGTTGACACCTTGAAAAAGTCGCTGTCGAGGTTGGCGGCCAGCATGCTGGTGCACGTCGCCCAGACGCCGAGCGGGAAGGTGAACCCCCACCAGCCCATGTTGAAGGGGAAGCTGTGGATGGTGGCGATGCTGATGAGGGCGAAGCAGGCCCACACGAGGGCGAACCCCCACATGATGAGGCCGAGGAAGACGCCCAGCACGTAGAGCACCTCCGCGGCGCGCGCGACATCCACGACCACGCCGGCGGTCCGAAACACGGTCGTCTCGGGCAGGACGCGCAGGGCGACCTTGCCGAGCTGCTGGATGCCGAAGCCGCCCTGGCCGAGCGGGCCGATGGGCAGGAAGACGGAGACGATGACCTCGCGGGGCGGCAGCGAGTGGATGGTCAGGCGGTGGAAGTAGAGGGCGAGGACGCAGCCGGAGAGGGTCTGGCCGATGCCCCAGAGGACGTAGGAGGCGATGAGGGTGGTGAGGGCGTGGGCGCTGTCGGGGAGGGCCTCGGCGACGATGCCGCCCGTGGCGGCGGCGACGACGGTCGGCACGATGGGCAGGAGCAGCGCGGCCGTCGTGTTGTGCAGGCCTGGCTTGTGGCGGTGCATGACGATGAAGGGCATGGAGATGCACGTCGCCATGGAGAGGAGCACGTCGATCCACCAGAAGGCCCAGGCGAGGTGGACGACCCAGTCGCCCCATTGCCTGCAGCAAAAGATCATCATGTTGATGATGGCTTGTTGGACAAGAGCAGTTAGCCAGAGCCCAGTCTCCTGGACGACTACAACCATGGCAACAACGCCAAGTACAACGACGATGCGAGGAGTTCCAGGGCAAAGGGGGACATGGAAGGGGGGGATGCTCACTGGCAAAGCCCATGGGGAAGCACCCCAGGAACAGCGACTGGCCCGGGTGCGAGATCATGGCCCGCCAGATCTCCGGGTACAGCGCGTACCGCAGCACCGAGATGGCGAAGAAGACGACGAAGAGGACGACGTTGGCGGCGAAGAAGACGTACGAGACGTACTGCAGCCACTGCGCGTTCCAGGGCAGGTTGTGCAGCAGCACCGAGACGATGCCCGTGCCCATGTTGACGGCGAACCATCTGGCAAGGGGAAGATTCCGCCGTTAGCTCATGAGGGTTGGCTGACACAGAGAGAGTACGAAGTATGTATATAGGGATGGGGGACAACTCACGACGGCGTAAAGTTGCGGACGATGCGGCGCCACCCTTCGTCGTACTTGGTCTTGAGCCTCCCGCACGGCATGCGCTCGCCCTGCGAGGGCGTTGACTGTGACGGACACGGCGGCGGCGGCGGCGGCTGCTGCTCCGTCATGCCGGACGCGGCGGAGCCCCGGCGCTCCGTGGTCCTCGTTACGGTCATCATACTCGTGATGCTGTTGGCGGTTCACCCTCCAATCCAACACGCGCGGAGAAAAAAAAAGAAGCTGTCGCGACGTGTTATGCAAAATTGAATCCGAGTCTGGCGGTGCCGCGCGAGATTGAGGAATTAAGTAAAGAATTGCCAAGGACCCCGGTGTGGCGAGACGGCCGGCTGGTAGAAAAGTAAAAGACGGAAGCTGGGCAGGTATGAGTAACGAAAGTACAAGGTTCGCCGGTGTGCCGGGTGGAGCCCGCCGATGGGCTCTGTCTGGCTTTCTAGGTTGTCACCCCACGGGACGGAGCACTGCGCACCGTCGCCTCGCTGCCGCAATACGCGAAGTATGCAAAGCAGACCAGATGACTCTTTGGCTTCTCGTTTTATTGTTTTCGTGCGACGACGTATGCGACCTACGAGGCCCGTCACTGGCTTTCGCCCGACTGCGGTGCCGCCCTCCCTCGGCTGCTGTGTCGCCCACGATGGCATGTACGAAGAGGCGTGGCTGCTTGGCGTTCCCGGGGCCGATCTCGTTTTCGTCCAGTCATGAAATTTGCAGTATACGAACCATGGGGCAACTATGACCAACTCGAACCGGGCTGCCGCGCGCCGCACCGGCCGAGCTGCCGTGTCCGGGGCCGCGCGCGGCAGTCGGGCAGGCGACGAGCCGGCCTGGAGCCCCGGGCCGCTGCCGACTTCCGAGACCCGATTTGAGCGGCCGGCCCAGCGTCTGGCTCGGCGAGCCCGGCGTCGCACAGGGGCACTGGGCACCGGTTCGCACGTCACTCGTCCCTGCAATTGCGAGCTGGGCGCCGGCCGTGTTTACGGCGTTTGCGGGCCGGAGGACAAAAAAACGGGCACCGGGGGAAAATGCATCTCAAAAGAGTACGGCATACGTGCAAATTTTTCTCCCTTTTTTTTCTTCTCTCTTTGACAGCAGTTCTTGCTGGCACAGGCGTCAATTTTGCGCCTGTCGCCACGTGCTCTGCACTGCCGCATGTAGCGCCTTTGTCACTGTACAAACGCGAGGACTTTCGGCAATCGCCGCTTGTTCCTCGCGCGGCAGGAACGGCCGGAAACCGCCCGCCCGTAATGCTGAGAACAGGTACGAAGTACCTGACGTAGTCAGGAGTGGGCTCATGGTCCTGGGCAGCCCACTTTTCGCGGCCTCCCAGCCAACCACGGCGCCCGAAACCTTCGCACCCAGTGCCGCTTCTCACGATTGCCCTCGCCTTCCGACGGAAACCATTGGCACAAAGGCCAAAACCTGTTCCTCGACCCCACCGTACCCCGACACCGGGTACGCAATGTCTGCCACCCGAAGTTTCCCCCGTGCTCAGCTGACTGGCGAGGTACTGCCCAAGGGTCATCGCAGGAGGCCCCCGCCGCGGCGACAATCGAGTCGGTGTGCTGTCCTTTGTGTCGAGCCCGAGTGCCGTCGTCGATAAAAACGCCGTCCATCGAACCAAGAACTCTTTCCATCGAACCAAGAAGCCCCCATCGTACCATACCAAGTAGCAACCATTGATATCATCCATCAGAGCAGACGTCCACCATGGCCATCGACCTGATCTCGCCCACAGCCGTGACCTTCGGCGATAAGGACGCCGTGCGTGTCCCGGTTGCCAGCCGCTTCGACAACTTGGTCCTGGCGTTGAAGGAGGCCCTTGGCCCCTCGTCAGGTCTGACCTCGGACGATGTCAACGTTGACTTCCTCACACGCCTCATGACCGACTATGACAGCCAGCCTGCCGAGTGGTCCAAGTACGCCTTTGGCGACGCCAGCAGAGGCTACACTCGTAACCTCGTCGACGAGGGCAACGGAAAGAGCAATCTGGTAGGTGTCCGATGCCCATCGATGCCTCGTCTATGGGTAAACATGTTTGTGGCTGACCGAGACGCCCACAGCTCGTCCTCGTGTGGTCTCCAGGCAAGGGGAGCCCGATCCATGACCACGGCAACGCCCACTGCCTCATGAAGATCCTGCGCGGTGACCTGACAGAGACTCGCTATGCCTTCCCTGAGGAGGGCGAGCCCGAAGGCCCCATGAAGGTCATCTCGGAGAAGACATATAAAGAAAATGCCGTGGCATACATGGCCGACGAGCTAGGACTGCACCGCGTGTCCAACAAGGGAAGCGACTTCGCCGTCTCGTTGCACCGTAGGTTCCCCAGCCACCAGAGACACTTGTCCCTGACTGACCCTGACCTCGCAGTGTACACGCCGCCCAACGTGGCCAAGGCGGGATGCCACATCTTCGACGAGAAGACGGGCAAGAGCAGCCACATCCCGGGCTGCCACTACTACTCAGCATATGGCCGGCTGCTGAAGCAGTAGGGCGTCGAGGAGGTCCATGTTCCAGGAGCGATGATGGCTGTATCGGCGTTGACGCATTCGTCCTTTGATTCTGTAGCGAGTTTTTGTTTCTTCATTCCGCTTCATTGCTATCGAGGGTGACGAGCCTGCGTGGCTTCTCGGCTGGCGGTGTGGAGCCCAGGCATAAGCAACGGCAAAGAGGCCAAATGCCGGATTTTGGCAACGAAGTCATGATAAATAGGGTACGAAATGAAAGCCCCAACCTCGAGCAAGGCGTCCAAGGCCCCGAGATGATTGTGGAGTGAAGTTGAAGTGGCAGAGAAGGGGGATGCCATGTCGTCTTGTCCTTGTCCCTCGCCTGTGGGAGGGCTCATCGATGGCGTGATTGACGCTAGTCCCGAAACATTTCCTCTTTCGCTCCACCGACAGCCGTTGGCAGGTCACGTGATAGCGTGTCCGAAGCGTGAGCCAACGCAGCGCGACTGCCAGGAGCAGGAGGGGTGTCAAAAATGACTGTGCGGTTCGGCGCTTCAATCAGCGCCAGAACGGAACATGGTATTTCGTCAGCCTCTCGGGTTGTACAAGCCACGGTTGACACCAAACTCGCTGTCTCGCGCGTTTCCCCCGACAATTCTTCCCGCTACATTTCATACTCGACCCACTACGTGTTCCAACTCAAATCACCCGTGCTGCACTAGCCCGGCAAGCATTGGTTCATTTGGCGGGCGAGCGTCGGCCGACAAGCCGCCAGAAACTGACGGCGGTTCTGCGCCGCAGCCGCCATGCCTCGCACTTCCAGGAAGCGAGCTAGCGACGACGTCATTGACCTGACTGGGGAGCCTCACCAGGTTGGGGGCCAGGCGAAGCGAGCAGCACTGTCCACGAGCCACCCATCGCACCGCACGCACGGTCCCTCGTCGTTCAATTCGACAGGCATTGGAGGTTCCAGTGTCTATGGGTCGTCGCCACAGAGCTCGCTGTCTGCAGCTGGAAGCTCGAGCCGCGGACCGTCCCAGTCGTCGCAATCATCACAGTCCACACCCGCATCTCAGGGCGGCAGCGATGACCTGGAGTTCTTGGACCTGACCCAAGATGATGATGGACCTCCGACCGAGTTCTACGGGTCCTTTGGTTCGCAAGCCCGAGCCCCAGCATATTCCATAGCCGCTAACGCCGTCTAGATGGCAAGATCGTTGGAGTCAGGTACTACTCGGGGTATGCAAACCCCGGAGAAGCTGTCATCTGTCGTCGGGAGCCACAGAATCAGGTACGTTTCCACCATACCCCGCCAAAACTGATACTCATAGTGAGCTAGTACGACCGCAATGCGATTCGTGTCGACAATGTCATGTACCAGCAGATCGGACACTTGCCCCGTAAAGTGGTGGAAAAGATTGCCCCATATGTGGTATGTGGCTCTCCGTGTGCCACGAACATAAATGTTCATTGACGACGTATTGTAGGATTCAGGTGACCTGACGTTGGAGGCGCAACTCACCGGCGAGAAGGGCATATATGATTGCCCCATTCGAGTCTTATTCTTCGGGCCCAGCGATCCGGCATCGCGGGCAAGGATTGAGAAGGCGCTCAAGGCAGATAAGCTCGTCAAGGCCACTCAGTTGAACCAGACCCGGAAAGAAGCCGAGGCAAAGAGGCTGGCCATGGGCCTCAAAGCTGGCAGCTCAAGTCAAGGAGTCGGTAGTGAACAGAACGAACCCGATCAGGCCGAGGTAACGCTCGAGGATCTTATGAAGAGCAGCGACGCTACCGAGTTCCGGCAAGGAGGCGATGCCATCAAGACCCTTGCTATCGACGAGGACCATTTGGCCAAGATGCCGATGGCGACTCAACCCCCAGAGCTCAAGGCGACCCTACTTCCATACCAACTGCAGGTGAGTTTTCCCCCGAGGCAGAGTAAGCCCAATGATGTACTAAGAACGATCAGGGTCTGGCCTGGATGATGTCCAAGGAGAACCCGGAACTTCCTGAGAAGGGCTCCGAGAGATTGGTGCAACTCTGGAAGAAGACTAACCGCGGCATGTATTGGAACCTGGCATCGGGATTCGCGACCCAGGCTCCACCAAAGCTGTGCTCTGGAGGCATTCTCGCCGACGACATGGGCCTTGGCAAAACACTCCAGATCATCAGTTTGATCCTTGCCGGCGGGCCTGGGTCAACGCTTATTGTGGCCCCAGTCAGCGTCATGAGCAACTGGAAACAGCAAATCGAGAGACACGTCAAGGCAGACAAGGCGCCGAGTGTGATCATCTACCACGGAGACAGGAAATCGACTGTCGCGGACCTCATGCGACACGATGTTGTCATCACCAGTTACGGAAGACTTGCCCGCGAGCGTGATCCCAAGGTTGAGCGCGTGTTGCTGAGCAAGTCTATCGAATGGCGGCGGGTCGTGCTTGACGAGGGCCACACCATTCGCAACGCCCGGACCAAGGTGGCAACAGCAGCGTGCGAGCTGCAAGCCAAGTCACGCTGGGTACTCACCGGCACCCCCATGTAAGTTGCCGCGGTGTCCTATATATGGCTACGCTGACAGTTCCACCCAGCGTCAACTCGGTCAAAGACTTGCACTCCTTGGTCAAGTTTCTGCATCTCACTGGAGGCATCGAGCAACCGGAGATTTTCAACACCAACGTCACTCGTAAACTTGCTGCCGGAGATCGCAGCGGCGAGGCTATCCTCCAGGCTCTCGTGCAGGATATTTGCCTGCGCCGCAAAAAGGACATGAAGTTTGTCGATCTCAAGCTGCCAGAGAAGGAGTATTTGCATCGAATCACGTTTCACCCCTCAGAGAAGCAAAAGTACAATGCATTGCTGTCAGTAAGCCCTCGCCCCTTGAAGTAATGGGTGGCTAACGCCCGATAGATCGGAGGCGCGTGGAGCGCTGGAAGACTTTCAGAAAAAGTCCTCTGCAGGACAAAAGGGACGATTCCAAAACGTTCTGGAGCGGCTGCTTCGACTCAGACAAGCGTGAGTCTGCTCCCACACAACCACGGCAACTGCTAACCAGGCTGTCAGCTGCAACCACTGGTCGCTATGCAGGGAACGCATTGAAGACCTCATGAAGCTCCTCGAAGATGAACAGGTGGTAGCATTCACTGACAAGAACCGCGCCTTGCTGCAAGAGGCCCTACGTCTCTACATTGAAAGCCAAGAAGACTGCGCCATCTGTTATGAAGTCCCGGGTTCGCCAGTCATCACGAACTGCAAACATGTCTTTTGTCGCGGTTGCATCACGAAGGCCATCCAGATCCAGGGCAAGTGCCCCATGTGCCGCAATGGCCTCACAGAGGATTGTCTTCTGGAGCCTGCCCCCGAGGGACCTGGCGACGACAACTTCGACACTGAAACTCAAAGCTCAAAGACGGATGCCATGATCCAGATTGTCCGGGCGACCATGAAGAACGCCGGGTCCAAGATCATCATCTTTTCGCAATGGACGTCATTCTTGAATATCATTCAGAACCAGCTCAAAGCGGCGAACATACAATTCAGTAGGGTCGACGGCAGCATGAACACGGACAAGCGCGATCGCGCAATCGACGCACTGGACAACGATCCCGACACGCGAGTTATGCTGGCGAGCTTGGCGGTGTGCAGTGTCGGCCTCAATCTGGTGTCCGCCGATACCGTCATTCTGTCCGACAGCTGTGAGTACACTGCTACTGTGGACACCATCTTGAACTGTAGCTGACTCTAGAGCAGGGTGGGCGCCCGCGATCGAGGATCAGGCCATTGACCGCGTGCATCGCTTGGGCCAAACTCGAGAGACTACCGTCTGGCGTCTTGTCATGGAAGAAACCGTCGAGGAGCGTGTTCTGGCGATTCAGTCGGAAAAGCGGGAGTTGGTTGGCAAGGCGTTCCAGGAAAAGGACAAGAAGTCCAAGAAGGCCAAGGACACGCGCATGGCAGACGTCAAAAAGCTGCTGTCTTAGAAGTCTACACCCAGGCGTTGAGCGCGTTTTGCTCCGTGTGTTTTATCAGGTTTAGATTCGGGCGTTTTTGCCCAGACGAGGGCTGGCATTCTAATCATCTGGAGGTCATGCACCGTCGAATTTGCTACATAGATGTTTGTAATGGCGCGAAGGGCGCACACTCAATACACCGCGGCATCTCTTCTGTCACTGCCTGTTTTTTGCACAAACTCATTTTCATGCGGTTCCTGTTGGCAGCCTCGGACCGCTTGGATTAGGAAACACAGAGCTGGTGTAGCAGTACCATTGTTGGCAAAGGTTCCTAAACAGTTCCGTCGTATTGGACAGCTCTGGGGCTGGGCGGAACGGACGAAGTCACCTGGGCTTGCTATGCACGAAGTATAGACTTCGCGGTCTTGACCTGGTCAAATCTCGTGGATCTTTACACCAAAGTCTCGTTCCACAATTGCCAGAACTGATTATCCCACGACGGCATACATTTCACCATCTCTGGGGGCGACCGCCATGTGAAGTTGCCGCCTTCGTTGGCCCTCTGCTCCGCCACATTCGTAACCGTGAAGCCCTCGGTGTCCTTGATCTGTCTGCCTCTTTCTACGGAGTACTCAAGGTTTACTGCCGGTACAACCGCCACTTTACCCAAGCTAAGGAACCATAAGTCCTTGCAAAAGAGTTGCGGCTCGCCTTGCGTATACACGCCCCTTTCTATATTCGAGCTTCTGAAGCGAATGCCGTGTTCCAACACCACGTCCACCCCAAACCTGCTGCGCCGTTCTAATACGAAATTATAGAAAGGGACGATTGGAGCGGAATCGGGATCGTATTTCATCGTCGGCATTCCATAATAGGTTCCATGCCGACTTCCAACTCCCATCGGTGGGGATCTCAAACAACGAGTCGCCGTGGATGCTGCGAGCGACCCAGACGTCATAGAACGTTGGGTCACGGCCGACATACGTCCAGTCCACGGCGCAAGTAATAGTCGCGCTCAGCCGCCTTTTCTGGAACACGAACTCTAGGATATCGTCGGGACAAGGCACTACATCGTTGAGGAAGATGACAACAGCTTCACTCGAGGGTTTTAGTTCGCCTCGACGTTTGAGTAAGGGTTCGAGGGCCAGATTGCGGAGATCGGCGAGGTTCCGGATACGGTCGCCTTGAGTAGGGTCGATGGACGAAAATTGGAATAAGTATCGGATGCCGTGCATTTCGAGCTGGGAGTGTAGGGATGAGAGAACGTCGGTTGTTCCATCGTTGGAGTTGCCCTCGACGATGGAGAGCGCGCAGGATGCAGGCCCGAGGTACGTAATGGCTGCGACAATACTGCCTAATAACTATGGCAGAATCGGCAGACAGTTTCGCAAATCCAGTGCAAAGTAGTAGTGAAGGCCAGCATCGTCCTTTGGGAGAGATGAGTAGCGCCCGCTGTCAAAGTTCGGACATCCCAAGGTTGGCAGTTGGGTCTTGCCGCCGAGTATGTGATCGTGGTATGTCGCTATATCGGCCGCCGTCAGCGTGTGGCCTGCTTGCACATAGGGTCAATACCTCGGACGGAAGAGGGGCAGCTGTATGCGAGCTTACCGTTTGATGTAGCTCCGGCCGCAATTGTAGTTGTTGATGGCGCGGCGGTGCCGTCGGGGCCTTGCACAGTGGATGGCCTCACATCCTCAACATGAATGTGAAGGTTCAGGAGCTGTTGCCGCCCTAGTTACAGGCTTCCAACGATGACTGCGACAACCAAAGGCAAGGCTAGCAACAAATGCAGCTTCCGGCGCATGTGATGCCTAGATATAGGCAACTGATACATGTCCGAGTGAGGCGCAGGTGGTCATGTTCACCGAGGGGAGGGAGTGACTATGTGGGGGAATATATTCAGGGTCGAAGAAACGCCAGGCCAGACGCAAACATGTTGGGCGCCTCTGGTGTGCGTCAGCGGAAGCGAGGGACTGGGCCAGTTGGTTGTGACCGGGGGACTCCCGTTGTGCAACCACGTCTCACCAACTCGGCTCGAGCCGGATGGCCCAAACCGGGGAGCAGCGTGTCGCTTGATATAGTAGCAGTATGTGTTATGTAGTGCGGTCATTGGTGCAGTTGCAGTCGCGGCCAGGTGCCTGTCGACTCCTTGCGCATCAACGTCCAATCACACATGACGAACAAAGGGTTCAATCGAGGGCAATCATTTCGGAGCTTTGGGGACAAAACCAACGCCTTGCAGCGGACTGTGTTGGGCGGCTGCTCGGACGGCTCCTGGTTAGTTTCCTGGTAGTAATAAAGCGAATAGTCTATAGCACCACCATCGCCGACAGGATGTCCAGTTTTGATGTCAAACTCGGTGCCCGACTCATGTGGTTTGTGGCCAAGAGCAGATGCTGTCTGTCTCTTGCGCTCGCGCCTACATGTACTTGAATGGCGATCATGTCGTTGCTGCCTGTGCTCGCCCTGGCCTTGCTAACCCCAACGGCGAGCCTGGCCCTTGTCTTGAACGAAGACAGATGGGCTACGTTGACTGCCACAACGAACCTGCAACACCGCAATGCTCTGCGCCAAAGGCGAGCGATTAACCCTCAGCTGTCCACATGCGGCTTCCTCAACGGCGACCCGTCAAAGCCTCGGGCGGCGGCTCCCGGTTACAACTGTCGAGTCGATGCAGAACGCGGTATTTGGGGCTTTTGCCCAACGAGTGTCATATATGCCAGGGATTGCGGGTTTATCGGCAGCTGTGTTGATGACCACGGGTGCTCAAGCGCCTGCGGCTTCCCAGACAAGTCGGAGTCGACGACATTTACTTGGTATGACAGCCTTTGCCTCTCTCCGGCGGAACATTTTCGTTAACTATCAGCTTTTCAACAGCACTGGCGCACAATATTGTACAACGGCTTTGCTGACGTATGGCACTAATCAAATCTACTCCTATCTGGCTTGCGGGACGGGTGCCTTGGTTGAACACTATCTGAATTCACCAACGGCTGAAACTACTACTGTTGCGGAATCAAACAGCCGACCAGGGACCGAGGTTACAAAAGCCGCCGCAACAAAAACATCTCCAACATCGCTGCCTGCAGAGACTTCACGGAGCAACTCGACAACGATCACTACATCACAGTCACCGTCGAATAGTTTCGCGACGGCCACAGGATCTAGCAGTAGCCAGGAGCAGAGATCCAATGACGGGACGAGCAATGTGTCTGCCATCGTTGGGGGTGCAGTCGGTGGCATAGCACTGGTGTGTGCCTCTGCTATTGCCATCGTCTATCTCGTCAGACGAACCCGCGCCGTTGTCCCTGATCGTAATGACGTCCCGAGCGAACTGGCAGGGGACACTGCCGACTCGGGATGTTTCAATGCGGCACAAGAAGAGGTCGAACCCAAGGCTTTATGGATGCCCTCAGAATTATCTGCGGTCCCTGTAAGGCGCGTGGAGCTGCCTGGCTAAGAGGAAATAATGAAGATGAAGTGTCGTCACCTAGGTAAACTGACTCAATGGGACTGAGGTGTTACCATGGGGCCTGGCAAGGCGCCAGACCTGGCTTTCTCGAATGCTCTGTGACTGAAGCGACCTCAGAAAAACACCTAGCCACAAGCTTCGACCCTTTCCCCTCAACATTTCTCTCCCAGCCTTTTCTAGAGCCGGCTATATTACCGCTTGAGGACCTGCTGGATTCTCGTGGGCAGGACCACTTAACGTTAGTCAAGAAAGCCGTCATCATCGACCGAGGCGCCAACAGGGTCGAGGCCTTTGTCCGCGTGCTGAGACACATGGCGGGGCACGCTTTGAAGGAGGGATCAGCATTCAGCACCGTCTCCATGCCCCCAGACGGGGGAGGGGATTGCCAATGGTACACCGCTGGAGGGTAGCAGGAGAGTTGCCCATGGGATAGAAACGAAATTGAACTGTTCATCTTGACGGATCGTGCTTCAGATTGGTGAAGATAGGATAGCAAGCTAATAGATAATTTGACTCGACGAAGTGTAGTTGAAGGAGCCGCGACGCCGTACGTGAGGCGAGAACAAATGGGAAATGCGATTATGGTAACTTCGTAATACTACAGCCCGCCGAGCTGCTACCGCCCCTCCTGCCCGGGCGCTGTCGAGATGCCCAGCGTCCTGGCGCACGGTGGCGCGACCGCACCTCGTCGATCTCGTTCTCCAGGGGGAAAAGAGGCAAGGACGCACCAAAGTGCGTGCGACGACGTACATACATACATGATACGTACGCGCGACCAAGTGAAGTGATGGGGACAATCGACACGGACCGACTACAATGGGTGGCTTGCCATGTCGCGAGCGCAATTCCCCTGCACAATTTCTTTGGTTCTCATGAATGCAGGTGGTGAGCTGTCAAAGGCTGTGTCCATGACTCCATGTGACCCTCTGTTGGTACGTAAGTTGGGCGCGCAGGCTTGGCAGGTACCGACCGCGCGTGCTTCAGGGCGTCCTGCCGGGGGCAGGGGGGGTTGACGTCAGGCCCATAAGAGCGAGGGGGTCGAGGAGCCCCGGGACGGCGCTGAGGAGGTTGGAGGGGCCCGGAGGTTGGATGGGAGGTGGCACTGGAGAGAAGAGCCGGCGTCGGAGCACAAAGCGAGGGGAGAGAGAGAGTGCTCCCGCGGGTAGACTGGAGGACGGCAAGGGGGCCATCGGGCGCTGGTGACGAAGGATGGGAGACACGTTCCCCGGTGCCAGCGGCTCATGGTGCCAAACGGTCGAGAACGAGAGGAAGGAAAACTAAAGCCGGCAGTGCTGTTTGTCTGAGTGTGCGTACGAATACGTACTTGCTTAAACCCAACGATGGCAGGTCCCGCAATCAATGAGAGAGAAACAGTGGCGCCCGGTCAAGATTGGACGGCATATACATACCTTGAGCTTTCGGGATGGCGAGCAACTGCATAAACGCATTGTGCAGCGTACAACTAACTGGGCGGTTGCTGGCCACCACGCACGCATGCGTACCTGTGATGCCCTCGAGCGTGACAAGAGAACGGCAGGGTGGACGGGGAACAGAACACGAAGACGGTGGACGATGGGTCGCCGGCGCCACGGCCGGGACGTTGGTTCTTGTTAGGCGGCATGACACGTCTGCCTCTCCCGCTCCGGACACGCGGTCTTCATCGCCAGCACACCATCTCTCCCAGGATCCGGTCCCGGACGTGACACTGAAGAGTCCAGACTACGCAACTGCAACGCCGAGCCAACCACTCGGACAACATTGCGACATACCTACCGTGAAGTGCCCCGAGCTATCCAGTATGCACAACCCGGCCCGCTGCTCAGAGTGCCGGAGACGCCGCTCTCCCCTCCTCCTCCTCCACCTCCTCCTCCTCCACCTCCTCCTCCTTCACCTCCTCCTCCCCGTCGGTCCGCTCCAGGCCTAGGCACAAAGCGGGGGAGTCGAAACAGCAAAGGAAGAGAAAAAAAAAAGGCACGCCCGCCGAACGCGGCGTCGGAAACCACCAGCCAAACAAGCCAGGGTTGAAGAAGCTGGGCCAGCTGTGGTCACCCCTGGGTCCACCAAGCCTTATTATGCAACCCCTGCAAGGCACCCGGGCGCTAGTGCCACCGGCGTGGGTACGTGATACGAGGAGTGTGCGTAGAGGGTGCGTGGGGCTTGAAGTCCCAGAGACGGCATGGAAGCGGGAAAGAAGCCATCTAGAAGCCGCTTGCCCGCCCAATATAGTGGCCAGCATCGTTTTTGTCCTCCCTGCTGCAACCTCGCAAGTCGTACTAATTAGCGCCGTAGAGCTGTTCCTGCCGATCTCCCTGTTATCAGCCGGATCTATCAACGTGTTGACGTACCAAGTCAAGGCATCTGGTATCTAACGTAGGTGCCCGAGTCGAGTTTGGCCGCGGTCCGACTCCGGCACTGGCTCCGAACTCGTCCCAAGTCGACCGTCGAGAGCCGTAGCTGACCGGCGTTGATGGCGTCTGGTCCGAGCTCCCTTCAAGTCGTCCCTCGATGCGCCGCTAGCCCTTTGGCAGCAGAGTGCTCGCCGCTCCACCTATCACACATACACAACATTGAACGTACCCTGCTTGCGGCTGGTCTGCACAAGTCCCTGCCTCGGTCGGCCAGCATGTCGGTATGCACGCGGGACGGCGTGTATCTGACCGAAGGGGCGTCTGTCCCCTACTCGGGCCCGTCCGAGAGCTAATGATTGGGGAGTGTCCAAGTTGCTGGGCCATCTGAGTAACTCCTGCCGTGTTCGAGGTCGATGGGCGCATGGCCGGCCCGCCGAGTCGACATAACCGGACACAAGATGTGCTGCCGTGTCGATATCGTATAACACAAGTCTCCACGAGTCGAAGAACCCGGCTGTCAGGCTGGGGGAGAGGGTTCCCCGGCAAGTGAATCCCCTGGTCCGTCACGTCTAGCTCGAGATATTGTTCCTGCTGCCCTTCATCCGGCATAAATAGGCCTGTGCCCAGACCCCCAACTCTTTGCAAGCAATCAGTTCTCCCAAATCCTCTATCAAAGACCTAATACTTATTCATCACATTCCAGCATTCGCGGACGGCACCATGATGGCGTCTCCCATCGCGGACTCCGCGGCCGTGGCCGCAGCCCCTGCATGTATCCTGCCGTCACAGGACAAGCCGATTGAGCTCGGTATGCTCCACTCTGCTGTTTTTGTGCTTCGGGTTTGAGCTAACAGCCGGACTGAAGCGTTTCGTGAGACTTTGCTTCGCGCCAACATCCCTTGGGAGCCAAACCTCGTCGCACGCATGAGGGAGTATGATCTCTTATTGGGGCTCTGTCGACGGTTGCTTCGCAATCTGAGCCAACAAGGCCGCTCCCCGGGAACTTCAAACCCGTCGAACATGGCTGAATACGACAGAGTCTGGCGTCTCATCTCTAAATTGGATGAATTGGAGAGACGCATTGCGTCGACCACACAGCCGCTCAAACTCCCTTCCGAATCCTGCCTCCGTTGGAGATCCTTTTCAGAATGGGAGGATCTTGTCTCGAGGATTCAACCGCATACCTCGACTGCAGCAGGTGCTTCGAGTCACGAATTCGACGTTATAGTTGTTTCCCTCGATGGCACGTCACCTCTCCGGCAGCGCCTCCTGGAGCAGTTCAAAGCATGTCTCTATGAGCTCGAAGGTCTTCTCATGGAGCACGCGGGCCTCGACCGGCAGATCACCAACGATTCATCTCGATCCCCAGACATGGTCGGGTGGCACCTGAAGTTGGTCCCACCCATGACCGAAACGAGCACTGCATCCTGGATTTGCCATCGAGGTGGGCCAGAAATCACATTCGGTAAACATGAAAGGAAGAAGGTTCCCAAACATCATCTCAACCCCAACGGAAATGCCCGAGGTACGGTAAGCCCACCCGCGACAGGATGCTGATGGCGCTGATTTGTCTCTCGCAGGAGTTGCGAAACTTGTCCTTTACTTCAAAGACTCTTCGGGGAAACCCGTCGTGTTGGCAGGGTCAGGATGGCTCGTGGACGAGCACACCGTCGCCACTGCGGGCCATTGTGTCTTGCACAAGCTCCATGGTCGTCTGATGGACGTAGATGTCATGGCGGGATACGAGACCGACAGCCGTGAACTACGACGGGGGAAGCATGTTGTGGTCAACTGGGGATGGTATAGGTCGTACATGCCCAGGTACGACCTCGCCTTCATCCGACTGGACGCGCCCTTTGAGGAGCATACCCGTGCGATTCCGTACGTCGAGTCTCCGGCGCGAGGCGAAGACATGACCATAAGCGTCTACGGGTACCCATCAGACATGGGCGACGGCAAGCGCATGCATTACAGCGAGTGCATGATCCGGTCGTATGACTTGGCCAGGTCGGGATGGATGCTCGAGTACGACCTCGACACGGCTGGAGGTACAAGGATCGCGTCGATGTCAGTCAGCGCGTCTTTGACATTGCTGACGAAACCATAGGAAATTCTGGCGGGCCAGTCTTTTGGCACCATGGCGATGGCAAGAGAACGGCCATTGGCGTCCATTGGGGTTCGGGCCTGACGAAGGACTCTCGCGGGCAGGAGGTCTTGACCAACAAAGCCGTCATCATCGGCCGAGAGGCAAACAGGGTCGAGGCCTTTGTCCGCGTGCTGAGCCATATGGCAGGGCACGATGATGCTAGCGTCAACGCTGTGTCCATGGCCTTGGACGAGGAAGGGGAGTGCCAACGGTATACCCTTGGCGGTGAGTGAGAGAGTTGCGCATGCAATGGCGACGAAGGTGGAGCGTTCATCTAGACGTGCTGTGGTTCAAGTTATAGAGGCGGCAAGATAGGAAACGGCTTTATGATTTAGTGACTAGAATTGACTTGACGAATACGTGGTTGAAGGAGTCGCGACGCCGTACGTGAAGCGAGAGCCAATGAGAAAAAGATTATATTGGCGTCGTAATACCGCCCAGCTGCCGCCCCTCCTGCACTGTCGAGTTGCCCAGCGTCCTGGCGCACAGTGGCGCGACCGCACCTGCAGTGGCCGCACGAATTGGCGGCCCCCACAAACGCCCCCGCTGAAATTGCCCGTGGTGGAGGGGTAGCACGACAGTGCGGCACTGCGTTGCACTTTTTCCCACTCGACTTCGTCTCCGTCGCGGGGCCGCCATCTCTAAATCGTTCGACTTGCACACCGCAGTCCTCACCCGACTCTGCGCGCAGTCAAGATGGTTCTGTCGAGCTGGCTGTCCAGCCTCGGGCAGCGAGGCATTGTGGCCGGTAAGTCTCCGGGGCCAGCGAACATTCTGACTACATTGTGCTGACCATAGTTTGCGCGAGACAGATGTCGTCGACCTGTGGCACACGCATCGCACGCCTCTAATTCTCTGCGCCCTCTTCGTCCTCCTCGCGATCCGAGTCTACATTCACGTCTGCGACTACGAGCAGGACGTGGCTCCGATTCCACGAGTGTACGATGAAAAGGCACCACCCGCGGCCTTGGCTCCGACCAGGAGCGTGGCAGAGAAGCCTGTTGCGAAACCCTCCGGACCCAGGAGAATAAAGGGCGGCGTTGTCAAGAAGCCGTCGCAGGAAAAGCATGATGCAGTCGATCTGACGCGCCCGGTCAAGATCATGGCCTTCTTTTCGTCCGTCACCACCAAGACGGAAACGATTGCCATGGCGTACCTCGCGTCAGTAGAGACGGCCGTCGAGAAGCTCACTCAGAAGACGGGCCGCCCCTTTCTCAAGCCAGAGCTACATGATCTGGCCGGAATCGACTTTGAAGACTTCTTTGTCTCGCCTCCAAAGTCTGCAGAGGCCGCGACCTACTTCTACGTCTTCCTCATCCCGAGCTACAACATTGACACCATTAACGACACGCTGCTTCAGCACCTGGAGGAGACCCATCACGACTTCAGAATCGACACGGCGCCCCTATCGCCTCTGATGGGATACTCTGTGTTTGGGTTCGGAGACAAGGAAGGGTGGCCGGACGAGGCTGAGGGCTTCTGCTTTCAGGCCAAGGAGCTGGACAAGTGGATGTCCAAACTGACCGGCCGGAAGCGCGCATACCCAGTCGGCATGGGCGACATGAAGGGCGATCACGGAGTGCGATTTGCCGAATGGTCTAGCGGCCTGGAGGAGGTTCTGGAACATGTCGCGCGAACGGGCAACTTGGGCGAAGGCGTCCGTGGCAGCGGGGACCCCATCGAGAGCGACGACGAGGACATTGCCGGCGAGGATGACGGCGAGGTTGTCTTTGATGACGAGGAGGCTGGCGATGAGCAATCTTCGCGGGCGCTGGACGATGTCGAGGACTTGGGCAAGATGATTCGCACAAGCGGCACCTCCACCGGCAATTCCTCGAAGAAGGCACCGCTCGCGGTAGACTTTACCTCCTACGGCTCTTCCACAAAGAAGAAGGCGCCCCAGGCCCCCGTGGTCAAAGAAATGGTCGCCAAGAACTCGCCAACATACGCGGCCCTGACGAAGCAGGGATACGCAATCGTTGGTTCACACTCTGGCGTCAAGATCTGCAGATGGACCAAGTCCGCCTTGCGAGGGCGCGGGAGCTGCTACAAGTACTCCCTGTACGGCATCAACTCGCACCAGTGCATGGAGACGACGCCGTCTCTGTCGTGCTCCAACAAGTGCGTCTTTTGCTGGAGACACGGCACCAATCCCGTGGGCACAACCTGGCGGTGGGTGGTCGACCCGCCCGAGATGATCTTTGAGGGCGTCAAGGAGAACCACTACAAAAAGATCAAGATGATGCGTGGCGTACCGGGAGTCCGAGCCGAGCGATACGCAGAGGCGCTGAGGATACGGCACTGCGCCTTGTCGCTGGTCGGCGAGCCCATCTTTTACCCGCACATCAACGAGTTCCTCGCCATGCTGCACGCCGAGCGCATCTCGTCCTTCCTCGTCTGCAACGCGCAGCACCCAGACCAGCTCGCGGCGCTCAAGGCCGTCACGCAGCTGTACGTGTCCATCGACGCGTCCAACAAGGACTCGCTCCGCAAGATCGACCGTCCCCTCCACCGTGACTTCTGGGAGCGCTTCCAGCGGTGCCTGGACATCCTCCGCGAGAAGCGCTTCCGCCACCGCACCGTCTTCCGTCTGACGCTCGTCAAGGGCTTCAACGTCGAGGACGAGGCCGAGGGGTACGCCCAGCTCGTGGAGCGCGGCCTGCCGTGCTTCGTCGAGATCAAGGGCGTCACGTACTGCGGCACGTCCACCTCCTCCAACGCGGGGCTGAGCATGTCCAACGTGCCCTTCTATTGGGAGGTGTGCGACTTTGTCCGGGCGCTGGAGAAGAGGCTAAAGGCGAAGGGGCTTGCGTACGGCATCGCTGCCGAGCACGCGCACAGCTGCTGCATCCTGCTGGCGAGCGAGCGCTTCAGGGTCGACGGCCGCTGGCACACGCACATCGACTACAAGCGCTTCTTCGAGCTGCTCGAGGAGCGCGGCGCCGACGGCGACTGGACGCCCGAGGACTACATGGGCGAGCCGACGCCCGAGTGGGCGCTCTGGGGCAACGGCGGGTTCGACCCGCGGGACGACCGCGTGGACAGGAAGGGGCGCAAGATTGAGAACGTCGTCGTTCGGGAACAGCCCCCGGAGCAGGTCTGGTAGCTCCAGAACGGAACATGTAGAATGTACTTTTCCGCAGATGGCGAGGCATGCATGTAATGAATCGTGGACAAGTCTGGAAGCTACAGAGTCATGACCACATGCACCCCCACGGAAGACGACGCAGGACTGTAATGAATCGTGGATGTTTTTGCGGAAACGCTACCATTATTGCCTTTCCCAAGCCCACCCTTTGTGGTATCATTTTCCACCGTGGTACTGTTTACACAAAGCTCTATTCGAAGCTTGAAGAGCGACAATATGGTACACTATAGGGCCGGCCGACCCGGCCCCTGAGATTGATAGATTGGAGCCCCCGCCGATGCTTGTCAAGTGGAGGGGTTTCCTGTCGAGTTGAGTATCGGGGTTCGCCGTGTGTAGACAGACGTGCTGTCTACTGTCTCGGGCGTCAGTTGTTCTTGTTGCTTTAGTCGAGGCCGACGTTGGGAATGTCGCCCAGGTTGATGCCGCCAGCGGCGGGGCGGGCGCGGATGTCTAGGCTGGAGTCGTATGCGATCATCTCGGCCAGGATGTCTAATATAGGCTGGGGGGGCGAGTTAGCATATCTCCGAGGAAGTGCGTTGAGGGTAAGGAGAAAAGACATACCTTGGGCACCGTGCTGTCGTAGATCTTGATGAGGTCGCCGGGGGCGGGGTACACCTTGAGGCCCTTGTAGAAGGCAAGAGCCGACTCAACCGCCTTGGAAGCTATTGAAAGAGTCAGCATGCGGACGCAAGAGTCGGAGTCTTCGCTCCGGGAGCAAGACGGAAACGTACGGTCTGAGCTGAGCATCTCTCCCGACATGACCTGCTCGTTGAAGTAGGCCTCGCGTTCCTCAACACCGGCCGGGAAGCCCTCCTCCTTGGCCTCGTCGACCTTGAGCTTGATGGCGTCGCGCTGGCGCCGCGTCGAGGCCTCGGCCTCCTCCTTCTCGGCGCGGGCCTGGCGGCGCTCGTTTCTCCTCAGGTTGCGGCGGAAGTCGGCTTGCGAGCGGCGGCGGTAGTCGAACCAGGCGACGTAGGCTGTGGTGGCTGTGTTAGCTTCTGTTACGTGCGCGATGCAATTCCAAAAAGGGCGACGAAGAAGGTTTGAGCTTTGGAGGTGCCGGGCGATGGACGTTGGGAAGGGAAGTGAGGAGGAGGGCTGCTACATACCGACAACGGCGGCCGCGGCGGTTGCGACCGATGCCGTCACGACGGTCGATGTCTGAACCATTGTGACAGTCTGGGGGGGAGCTCAAACGCAGATGAGCAGGATCGCAGCGGAGGGAGATGGACGAGGACTCGCGGCGCGAAGGGGGGATGGTGGCGTGGCTGATGGGCGACGGTGATGTCGATTGAGAGTTGCGCCGGAGGGAACGGTGGGTGAATGATGGAGGCAGCTGGTGCAGCTTCTGGTTGCTGGTGGCCGTCAATCAGAGCCGACCAAATTTTTTGACGACATCAGCAGGCATGCGGCGCTGGAGCCGCGGGAAGGGAAAGCTCCGGAACATCGATGGCGCGGGCGGCGGTAGGGGCCGGGAGAACGTCGGTTGAATGACCGGCTAGCAGTGCCTTGCAGCGAGCCAGCGGCATCATCGCCTGGTGGGGCCCCCGTTGGGCCGGGAGCGCGTGCGGTGCGCTGAGCTGCATGCCCCCCAGCTGCCAGGTTCCAGCGCAGTGACAGCGGAGAGCCCCCCCTTTTGGTGGTGCGTGCTGCGGCCCATCAGGTTGCTCAGCGGCTCGCTGATGAAACACCAGACTCACCTCCCACCTCCCGTCACCTCCCCCATTGACGCCAGCCACGACGCCCGCCGCGAGCACCTCTGGTTCGCGGCACGACACAAAGAGGCGTGACGTCGCTGCTGTACCGTGGCCCTCTCGAGAGAGAGACCGCAGACATCATGTCCGAGGAGCGCAGCAAGATCTCCCTCCGGAGCGGCCCCAAGCGCAAGGGTCGCCCAACCATCTCCGCGCCGAGGCAGATCTCGAGTCCCATAACGCAGGATGAGGCGATCAAAGGCGGTGCCCCCGGGCCCATTGAGCCCGTCCCTCAGCCTCGTCTGCGGCCAGGTCCCTCAACCAGAGGAAAGGTACGATGCCGTCACTAGAAGTGGTGGGCGTGACGGCGCGTCTGCTAACCCCGTGTCCAGACCTCAGACCTCGTCAAGCAGCGATACTCGACGCGGTTCAACAACCTGCCCGCCGATTTCGACCCCTCCGCGCCGCCGATGCCCGCTATGCCCTCAATTGACAGATACGAGCAGGCGGAGCGCCGACCGCCGCCGTCGCGAGGGGGCGCCGCCCCCGTGCTGGACATCAAGACCCTGCGAGACCCCAACCTCGTGCCCGACCAGTACGTGTCCAAGGTCCTGGGCGACGCCACCGAGGAGCAGATCCAGGAGTTTGAGGAGACGCTGCGGAAGCTCAAGGCGCGTGCTGCGACGGACCTGCAGCAGAACCTGATGCAGAACCGCACGCAGTTCATCAAGATTAGCAAGGAGGCCGAGAAGCTCAAGGGCGAGATGCGGGCCCTGCGCAACCTGATGGCTGACCTGAAGACGAATACTACCGCACTGCGGGCGGCCTCGATGAAGAACGACGAGCCGGCCAGTCTCCCGGGGCGGGGACCCGCGGGCTTGAGCAAGCGAGACAAAAGGAGCTCCGTTGCGGATAGGAGCGCACTTTGGAACTCTCAGATGCAAGCTTTGTACAAGAACGTTGAGGGGTCCCAGAAGTTTCTGCCCAACGCTGCGGGCCGCCACGTCGTGCAGAACGCCGGCCCGTGGATTGAGCTGGACAATGCGACGTACAAGTCTCGGAGAGCGATGCAAATCTTCTTGCTCAACGACCACCTGCTCATTGCATCACGCAAGAAGCGCAAGGTGGACGCTCCCAACACCGACACGTCCCGGGGCCCCATGATCAAGCTGGTCGCTGATCGGTGCTGGCCGCTTCTGGATGTCGAGGTCGTCGACATGCCCGGCACCGGAGAGTCTTCCGGTGGCAGAAATAAGCTGGCCGACGCCATTATGGTCCGCGGTGGCGGCCAGGAGTCTTTCATCTACCGCACCGAGAAGCCTGAAGATTCCGAGAAGAAGTCGCTACTTCTCAATGTGCGGAAGGCGGTCGAGGAGCTTCGCAAGGGCCTGCAGTCCGAGATGGAGGCCAACAACAAGGCGCGCGAAACCATCAACTACTTTGCCTCGCGCGACCCGGGTCTGCTGCAGAAGACGGAGCTCCTGGAGACACTGTCTGACATCAAGGACATGCTCATCGAGGTTGACGGCAAGCAGCAGAACCTCCGGTGGGTCGAGAGCCAGATGGACGAACTCGACATTGACGTGTCGCTTCAGAGGATCGAGCCAGCTGTGGCTCGTGTGGAGAAGCTCAAGGGACTTGCGCGGGGGCTTAAGAGCAACGTTGTCGCGCAAGATTTCATCGACTTCAAGGTCGAGGAGCGGTGCTCCAAGCTGGCGGGCATACTGATCCACGAGGTTGAGATGACGCACAACAACCAGTCCAAGACGAAGCGCAATGTTAGCTGGCTAGCACGGCTCGGGTTTGAAGACAGGGCCAGGGAAGCGTATCTGGCAGCGCGAAGCGACACTATTCACAAGCGAGCGAGGTAAGCACTGTACTGGGCGAGTATGTCGCCACCACGACCGGTGCTAACAGACACAGGCAATGCATCTTCCAGGGCGACCTGCACCTGTACATCTGGCAGCTCTCGTTTGTCTACTTCACCATCATTCACAACACGATGCAGTGCTTCCAGGGTTGCTTTCCGCCGCCCATGATGAGCGCGTGCGTCAAATGGGCCAAGGAGCAGGTGGAGGCGTTCAACGCCATCCTCGCGAGACAGCTGAGCAGCACCGAGCGTGGGGGGCAGGTCTGGACGCAGTGCATGGAACGGGCAAAGGAGCACGCGCAGAAGCTATCTGACGTCGGACTGGACTTTAAGGACCTTGTGGGCAGGGGCCTCGAGGAGGAGGCCGCCGCCCATGCGTCTGCCGGCGCGGCAACGGCGACGCCGGTGGGCTTAGGGTTGGCGTAGTTGCGAGCCTGATGACGATGACGGAGGTGCGACGACGGATGAGCTATGTAGCCTGATAGCAGTGCTAACGCAGACAGCCTTTACGAATTAATAGCTAGCATTTTCCACGAACGTCATGTCGGAGAAGATGGGGGCATATTTTGCGACTCGTTCACCAAATTGCCGTTCAGTGGATGGGAATGTGGAAAATAAAGGGAGCTGTGGGGAGCCGTACCGCAGCGACCCATCGAGCACCAGCCACAGTGAGCTCCTGGAGCTGTTGCTTAGGTCGTTCAGTGGGTAGCTCCCAGTGCCGCTAGGTGCCTTGGTGGAGCGGCAGAGAGACCCAGAGGGCTGGATGGGCTGGATGGGGACCGCCCGCCCGAGTGCTTGTTCTGGAGGCGGACGAAACGGCCACATAAGTCATTCTTTCAGTGAGCGGCCGCGAAGCAGACGTGCGAAGATATCTTCTGCAGAAGCGCTGAGGGCCTAAAATGCCCTGTCTTTGAGCATACAGCTTACGTATGCGTGTAGGTGGCCCTGGAGGTACACAAACGCATGCCGGGCCGACGCGTGCGGCGGCTTGCCTACCTTATCAAAGTGAACCATTGTTTTGGCGCGTCCCGTGTCCCGTCGCCACCTGGTCGGTACGGCAGTGAGCAAGCGCCTGCCCGTGGGCAGTTGCATGCCAGCCACCGGCTTGAAGGCTGGCCAGGCTGCTGGGCTGGGCGGACGCCCGCCTGTCGAGATTAAGCGAGGCTGAGGGGGGCGGCACTGTGGCGGGCGCGGGCAGCAATCTCAG